CTCAGATACATGATGTAACCCTTGATTCAACTGGCTTGCCGTCTGAAAGGCGGGGCTTTGTGACCTGATTGACGCCGCTCGCGCCCGCGACGAGTCTGCGTCTCATTTGCGCGTGTGCTCTCTGATCACTATCTATCCTCAACTAGGTCACGAAGCTCCGCCTTCCATACACTAAGCCCGTTGAATCAAAGGGTAGGTAGATGGCAAAACAATTGGGCAATTTAACGAATAGACCAAATGAGAGTAATAAAAGGTTTTTCACCTACTTTGCATTTTTTGATTTCTTTTTCGAATTTTCGCAGAAAAACTGAGAACGTCACTAAATAGGTGAATTTCATTCACAAAAAACCATTCATAAATGGAAAGGAAATGCGCAATATTGAGCGACTGAAATATTAGGTTGATTCATAATTAATGCACGTTTTCTATGCTTCAACTTTCAGCCGATATAATTCTTTCTTGAAAAGACATATCCATGCGCAATAAAAACTACTGTAACAACCAAGTCAATGGCTATAGAACAAATACTTTTACGTGACTGTATCTATCACAAGAAAGATTTTCTGGCCTAAAGATTGCCAACAACTTTTTTCAGAAGCCTCCACTTTGAGAAAGCATAACTTATGTTGAAATAAAGAAGGATAAAGCAGACTTCGTTCTTCTTGTAGCCAAAGGCCCTTTGAGCGGTAATGCCAAGTTTGGATTTAACGGAAAATTTTTGAAAGAAAATATCGCGAAAAAGTCGAAAGCACTCACTTTTTTCTTGCATCTCGGCGGGTTCAAAAATCGGTCATTTTTGAAATTATCTCGTTTTTCTCCGCTGGAAAGTGGGAAAACCCTACCACTATTCCACCATCAAATGAACTAGGTCTACCCTTGCTGGATAGTGCAAAAAACCTGCAATCGCCTTTTGCTTTAAAGTTTTCTATGGCACGGAAGGGCCGAGACGATCATTCAAGTTCGCAATTGATTTTCTCGGCTCAGAATTCATGGAGCATTGATTTTCTCGGCTCAGAATTCATGGAGAATTTCGTTCAAATAGCATCTTGTAGCATAAAGTTTTCTAATCCTTATGCATATTTTTTTGAAATTAATCCGGCTATTCCTCATGGATTTAGGGCAAAAAGAGTGAAAAGCAAAAATTTTGGGACTTAGTTTCTTCCATTTGAAGGCTCAGAACTTTGGAATGAACTGAGATTTACGAAAGCGAAGGGACACGTAAGAAACTGGAAGAAACGCTCTTTTAGATAGCATATAAAGTTTTTGAGAAAGCTGATTACACATTAAATACCAGCTTCTAGAAGAAGAGGTGAGAAAAAGTGCATTAATTTATGAATCAACCTAATACTTTGACTAAACAAAACACCCCACAAATAAAGATTTTTCGAGCAAGAATGTTGCCATATACAAAAGAAACGGCCAAATTTAAGATAAAAAAATGAGGAATGCTTTGTGAAAAAGATTAAATGCCTAGATAAAAACATTCATTGAACCATTTGGGCAGCTATCAATGGACAATAACTATTCAAAAACTCAAACGACAGAGGATGACATTTACGAAAAGAATAAAACCTCTCTTCTGAATGGCTATACGTGATTGCTTATGGCAATTTGATTACCCAGAAGAAAGTGCCTACATCGAAGATTCGCAAATCGAGTCCAGCGATCTTTGAAAGTATGTAACCTTTGGTTCAACTGGCTTGGCTTCAGGAAGGCGGAGCATTGTGACCTAATTGAGGCCGCTCGCGCCCGCGACGCACCTGCGTCTCTCTCGCGCAAGCGCTCTCTGATCGTTACCTAGCCTTACTTAGGTCACCGAGCTCCGCTTTCAGGAATCCAAGCCAACTGAATCAAATGGTAAGTTGTAAATCAAAGTAAAATCAAAAATGATAACTACCATTTCACAACTTTGGGAAAATCAACGAACATAGGATGATGTCAAATTTACGTGTTCGATTCGGCTGTGAGATGATAGCGACATAAAAACTTTTCACGGGCGCTTCCGTTCAAAAATGGATTGATACATCATTCAATATGCAAAAAAAGTTTCGTTGGGCCCTATTTGCACTCGTCACTGGATCATTGGACTGATCATTTAGCAAATTATAGTTTTTGCTAAAGAAGTCACTCTCAATAAGTCTTGATCAAAGTTATTCTAGAATAAGGAATCTTAATTTAACGCATTCTATCGGCCCAAGGCATGCCTCGAGCGATGGAAATTTGCCAGATATATTTAAAATCAATATGTAGATCCCAAAGGCGCAGCACGTATAACTTTCGTAGATTGGTAAAATGCCTTATCTTCCTTGCATTCAGAAGCTCCTGACGATGAGTTATGATCAATTGAAGTATTACCAAATCGCGTGAGGTATGTTTACGGCAATAAGAAGGTAAAAATGAGAAAAGAAATTCATTGATTAACTAGGGGACCTACAGTCTGTGTCAACGATGTGCTCCCTTTTCCATCAGCTCAAGCGCAGCACTAGAGTTCTGCGCCGCGTTCACGGGCGTATCACTTTAGCGTTTCAAATCTGCCGCATCGATCGGAGATCGCTGCCCAATGCCTACACGCTGCGCAGGCCTAGTTGCTACAGAAAAGAGAGCACGTGCTTGACACAGACTATATGCCTCGATAAGCAATCTGAAGCCACTAACATAAAATGCTTATCTCAGTGAATTTTCATGGAAATTTTTCAATTTATAGAAAACAACTCTCGAAAAATTTCCGAGGGATTGGTAGCCATGAAATTACAAACAGTGTGTAGAACAGGAATAGCCCATTGTAGCCTTTCGCAGAAAAATTGTGACCAATGTTTTCATCTTTTGGAACGATTGTTTGATTGATGGGTGCTCTTAGGTGACTCAACACCACCGCGACAAAGGTTTAAAAAAGAGGTATCTCTCCAGCGAATGCTTCCGTTCAGATCATGAAAACGTTCTAGACTAAGCCAGGTTCGAATAGCAAGCAGTCGGGATGCTGTGCTAAGATTAAGATATTGGGCTGCAAAACTTGCACCATTTTCAAGAAAAAACTACCTTAACGATCTTGTTACTATTAGGTTGTAAAGAAAGTTCTTTACAATCTTTACAAAGCCAATTCTTTTCATAACTACCAAAAACGAATGTGAATGCAAGGGGATGGTTTGAGATGTGTTCTTAGTGTGCTATGGCCCCAGCTACCCAGCACGCTATTCATCTCGAAAAAAGTGACAATCAACTATTCGATTCGTCCGCCTAGGGTTAAGTTGGTCAGCCAAGCCCTGGTAAATTCGGTCAACATCTGTGTCTGGGTAGGGAAAAGGATCTCGGCAGGGGGATTTTCTCACCTTCCGAAGAAGGAAAACGACCTGAAGAATCCTGCAAGGGACCAATATCGACGTTCACTCGTTCTTTTCTTTTTTCTTCTTTTAAACGGTGCACCTCTGTGTGTGTATCAATAAACAATAAACAATAAACTAGGAAGATATGCCAAGAAAAGGAGAAAAATCCGTTGCGCTTAGGTCCGCGAAAAGGCACATTTTTCAGAATATGGACACGCACAACTTCCAAAAGCTTGATTTAAAAATCCTTTTCATACCCTGTATACTAGATGAAGCGCTACCCGACTATCGCTTGTCCCGGTACTTGGGCTTTTTTGCAAGCAAGAAATAACTCATTGAATCCAAAGGTCAAAAAATCAAACTCGCCACATGTTTTAAAACGCAGCCAGCACGCTTCTTGAAAAAAAGCATCGGTGACGTAACTAATCGTAGTCTAAGCTTATCAGTACTAATGACCAAAATGTCGTTGAATGACTGTCACTCATTATGAAGATATAAATAAAAGAATTTAGCTTAACGTCTATTGGCAGAACTTTCTTTACAACCTAGTATTACAAACTCTTGAAAAGAACAAATCATGTACTTGTTAAAGGTGGCTCGTAAGCTCCGTGCAAAGTTCTAGGTGCAGAAAAAAATGAAAGAATGGGGTCGTCCAAGCTTCGGTAAATTTGAGCAAGCCCATTAGAAATCTAGAAACCATGAAAGAATCCAAAATGGTCAATACTATAGATTTTGGGACCTCCTCTTTCTAAATGTGCAAAGTTTGTGCCGATCGAATATTTTTATGGAAAGCTACAATTTCCGAGAAAAATGCCAAAAATGGAAAGAACGGAAAATTGATTTCATGGCATTTTTCTCAAAAATCATAACTTTCATGAAGAAGCTCAATCAGCACAATTTGCAAAGTTAGAATAGAAAAACGAGGTCTTTGAAGCTTGGCAAAATTTTCGCTTGTGCAGAGGAACGCTGCAACCAAGCTCGCAAAATGCATATATGAATGAGAAGAAATAAGAAAAGCAATATATGCAACTTTATGCAAATTGGAAAATCTCTTGGAGAAATCCTTCCTGCAAACATTGCATGCCATCAAGCAGATAGCTGGAAAAGTTCCAAACGCTGGAATGTCGACTATTTCACTCAAAAATTTAGCAAAACCCATGGAAACTCATTTTTCTGTTGCAGCGAATTATGACCTTCTAAATTTTTTTCCAACAAGGAAGAGGAGAGAAAAGGAAGAGCAAGGAAGAGCTTCGAATTAGCAGTGCCAGTTTGAAATTTCTCCTTGGAAAATGATCAAATCCAGTCGGATAATCTTGCAGTGAGTTATATTCCGAGACACATGAGAAGGAAGAAAGACTTGGATATCAGAATTTCGAACCCGGAACACATTTAGTAGGTAGGACTCCTCCTAAAGACATAAATTGATAGAATTTAAAGACCCAGATTTTTGAAAAATATGAAGCTAAACTGTCAATAATGATGTAAAGACCGGCAATTTGAACTAAAGACCAAAGAGAACACTATAGGCCCTCAAAACTTTCTTTCCTCGATAATTCTGGAGCATTTTCATAGAGTACTTTTTTGTAGTGAATAAATGTATTCTTAACTGCTTTTTCCAAAAACAAGAAGATTTATTCAAAATCATTTACAAAAAGCAAAACATGGGAAAAATTGGAAAAATTAGATCTCTGCCTCCTCAATGTGATACTTTTCACGAATGAAAATAGCTTCATTTTCTGGAAGGAGCTGACAAATGTGGACGAGTTCTAAAAAATTTGATTTTCTTAGTAATCGCATTATGTTACCATTGACAAAAATACCTTTCTTTTCATCATCACCCAATAGCATCACTAATAACTCAAATCGTGGAACTTCCGCTAGATGAAGTAAGCACGCCGAAACTTCCACCGGATTTGCGCTTCCCATTGCCAGCAGAGGAACGAGACCTCGGATGAGTCGGCCCAGCATTTCTGTTTCCATCAGGTCACCGAATAGAGAGGGGTATATCGTTGTGGGTATAGCCTAAAATGGAAAGGCTTGATTGTAAAGGCATAAGGTTCCTTTTTCTTTGTCGTTGATTTATACGTATGCTAAGAACAGCATTAGTAAGATTTGACGATTGATATAGTGCACCTGCGGTGATGACAACATCTGCGCGAAACAAATTTCATGCTCATAAAGCCAATATCGTGCTTGCAAATTGCGCGTCAGAAATAGTTACGGAGCGCGCATTGCCTTGTTTACGCGTAAATGTTGTCAGCAACGCAAAAACACTACATTAAACGTCGCATCTACTGTGTTCATACCATTACATACAAACCTATTTCCTGTGTCTGTATCCAGCAGACTCATAACCCTATGACAACTACAGGTGTATAGTTTATCAACCGCACGGACTGGTAGCGTTTGCGGCGGCCGCCACACGGCTAAAACTTGCGAGGGCGCAACTTGTACAATGGCGGCGCGTCGCGCTCCGCAGTGGCGGCTAGTCCGTGCGGTTGATGATATTCGTTTAGAATAGAAACATAACTTTTTATGTATCATAAAAACTATGATTTAATATTATTTCTAACTCACTAAAAAGTACTTCGCAAAATTCTCGGGTGGCAATCGCTCCATCTCTCGATAATCCTTTGAAAATTGTCGCAAAGAGGTTGGCACAGCAAAATGAACAGGACCATGTTCTTCTGCTAGATTTTCGTCATTTGTTTCCTTCTAAATTGATATTTTTGATGAACCCCGTATGATGAGCAACATCAGACATATGTACAGTCTCACTGACCACTTTTTCCAAATCTGTTTTCTCATCTTTCCGCGGCAGATCGATGACGATTTCGACAAACTCGGAGTCAGAACGTATCTCATCACCTTTTTCTACACATGGCACTACAATCACTTCAGCGTCAGACTGAAATTACTACAAATCGGATTTTACGATGTTGAAGAAAATAAAGTAAAACACGTAGGGCGATCATAGTTATATACATACCTGATTCGCAAGATTTTTCAACATTGTTTCCGCAGCCGAGTTCGGGGCAACCTTCAGACAGCGCTCCAAATCTTTGCGAGCGGATGCTTTGAGTCCGACTTTTTCAAGAGCATGCGCTCTCCTTAATGTGCTTGGTAAGCTGTTAAGGTCAGCAGAAACATTACCTGTAAAGGACTTTGCCCATTTTCGAGTCGAGTTCAAGCGCTCGATTGCAGTCCATAAGAGCCTTCGCCCATTCTTCGAGATTTAGGTAGGATTGGGCTCGATTAGCTAGGTAAAAAATCGCTAGGAAATGTCATAAGAGCCAAAGGCAAGAGTCGGAGATTATCCATGTCCAAATGTCGCCAGTGCCCAATTTCCCAGATGATTATAATAACAAACAATGCTCGAGCGGGTGTTGGTCACTTACCATTTTCAACTTCTACATAAAAACTGTGGAAGAGATATGCTAGGCAGTAAATCTGAGACCGGCAAATAATGCAAAATTACCAAGAACAGTGGCTGACTGTTCCAGTTGCAGACTCTGTGTGTAAAGTTCAATAGCTTTGTGATAGCGTTTCTCTCGGAAGCATGTGTTGCCTTCTTCTTTCAATTTTAACGCCTCAGCAGACATTCCTAACAAATTGAATAGGAATAAATACTTAGATATTTCTTCATGTGGATGAAATGGGCTCAAAAATCTTTCATATTCTCAGTATTTTCAAAAGAAAAATCTTATGGTACAGAAAAAACGCGTAAGTGAATTATTTACTAATAAATAAAAAATCACAGATAAATTGCACCGATTCAATAAGCAAACAAATTATGAACATCAACAATGAGCTCATCGCACTTTGTACAAAAATAACGTCCTCAATACAAGTTAATCCTGAGATTTTTATAATCATGGCGGAGCTTTAGGAAGTCTTGTATGAGTGTATGATCAACATCGGCCTAGAACCAGAGTATTTTTTGAAAAAAAAAGAGAAACGCAAAATATCACCCACCAGCATTGGACTATGAGCAGCATCGGCAAGATTCTCTGGCAGTACCACAAGGAGATTCGCCAAAGCGTGCAAGCTCTCGAACTGCCTCGAGGCCGTGGCTTCGAGTCGCCATTGGGATACACATTTTCGGTACTCATTGAGGTCACACAGCAAAAGCATAGCTCCAGCAGAATTGAATATGAACTAGAAAATCAGAATAATCAGGAAGATCTCAATTTCATGAAGTAGAACAGCAGAAGTCGCAAAATAAAATATTATTGGCACCACCTACCTGCTGAATATGATGTAAGAGCAGTTTGTACAGCCGATTAGCGAGCTCTGTTTGTAAGACGACCAAATTTCCCCCATCACAGCCTCTTTCCATAGCAGCTGCTTGTGACATAAGGAAACGCACCACTTGTTGACAAGGCTGAAAACAATGAAAAAAACAAATCTACGCTAAAGTTATGTGATTTTACGTCACAAAACAAATGGAAATAGCGAAAACAAACAAAAAATTGTCTCACCGCTGATGCTGCAAGGTTGATCTGCTGATTATCAGGCCGGAAGTCTGCCTTTTTCTGCTCCGATGTCAGCACAAATCGGACATAACCAACTATTGCATTCAACTGTCGTTCCAGTCCCATGTTGATCTTCTGCTCAAGCGAGCGCAATGAAGACGACCATTTTTTTGCTACACACTGCTCCACCACGGATCCCCTAAACATGAACAAGATGCTTCCTTGTATCGTCCCGCAAAAGATGCATGAGCTCACTTTATCAATGGAAGCACAGAATCTTCATACTGTTTCATCAACAAAAGTACTATTGTTGTATTCTGCGAAACTACGGAGAAAAAGTAAGCAGGAGGGCTGACTTTCGGTTCAGCCAAACTGATTCCTGCAAATGCTCATTTCACGTAACAGTCACTACAATGATTATAGAAAAATGAGACAAAATATCACCAACCAGCAATGGCTAATTCAACGGCGTAGTCCAAATGTTCAGAGTACAAGTACTTCAGCAGGATATCCAGAATGTTTTCGCATTGCTTGGGGACTTCAGATTTCTCGCAAAGCTAAACAATGCGCTGTTTCAGGCGGATAACGGTTGTGAGAATGAAGAATGAAATTAGGAAGCAGAACCATACAAAAAAAATCAAGAAAAGACGAAAACGTCAAAATTGCATGCTTCAAACACGGTGCCAATTGCCATTCAAATTTAGCCCATCTATGTCCGAGTAAGCTCATACTCAACTCAACGTCAAAATCTTGTGGATTTGTCAACTGTTTTTACAAAATGCAACATGCTTCATTCGCAAGTTTTTGGCAAGAAAGAGAATATGCAAACAAGTTGCATATAGACAGAAGAGATGTAGAGAAATCTTCTGACAGAAAGATGAAGTAAGACAAATAAGATCTATTCAAAACTTACAGACCATTAAACAGGAAAAACTATGTAATGAGATAGTACTCACCTGCGAAGCTCGGTTGAAAGCATTCTTCGTTTCTTGCAGAATACTAATTGCAACATCCTCAGACAAGAATGTTTCACCACCATAAGTCTCCACATTGAGAAGACGAGCTTGTACGTCTCTTTTCAGTTCTTGTAACCTGATAAAGTCAGTTTGCACAAAGCATTAAGTCACTCTATGTCTGAAGCATACCCTCCGCTATGGATCTGCTTTTTGGTATGTCTCTTTGACTCATAAAAGCGATGTAGTATGCTACTACACTGAGCGTGAAGATATTCCAATTCTTCATTTGTATAAGTCGAAAGATACCTAATTCAAGATGATATAACAATGTGCACTTTTATGATTGAATAACCAGAAATGCATATTGTGCGCACCTATCAAATATGGATCGCGTAAGAGTGGGAAGGAATGAAGCATCAGAGCTGACGTGCAAAGCGTCCAGGTCCTTGTTGAGGCGAAGAATGCTTAAATCTGTATATGGACAAAGAATATGCATTTTGAAAACAATGGCTTGGGTAGACGGCAATGGCTTGAAAATTCGTTTTTGCAACAAGAGTGTGCCAAATGAGAAGAAAAAAAGCTTATAAAATATGCAAAATGAAACGGAAAAAAGAGATAATGTAAATAACCTGGTATACGCATGTGCCAATCCTATCAAATATCCTTCACGGTCTTCGCTATCTTTACAATCCCTAAGCTTTGCGTAGATGTGATCCTTTAATCGACCCGTGTATAGACTGAGTATCTGTAAAAGAGATGAATAAGAAGTAAGTGATGAAGAAAGTGATGGTCATACCAATTTTTGCACTACAGCCATCGGACTAGGAAATATCGCCTCAATCTTCGGTTTATTATTGCGAACTAACTGTAGAGCTTCATCATAGACGTCATCGCTACCACTTCGGAACAATGATAGGATAAACTCCACGTACCGAGAAACGCAATGCGAGTAACCCTGAAAAAATAAATCAACGAAGATGAGGTAGATTCCAAAATTCTCTAACCTTAAACTCGCTTAGGATTTTTGCTACTTCAGCCATTTTCTTCTCGTCTCGTTGAGCACGGCCAAACTCATCAATGAGCAACCTTTCCACCTCTTCATATCTACAGAACTTCCGATTATCGAATTCAAAACTAAAAGCATGATTTACCTATGAGCTATTCTAGCTTGGACGGTGGCGAACTTTTCCTTGGATAGTTCTTGTGATATAGAATACAGTTTTTGCACAAGATCAGCTGATTCTAACAGCTAGAAAAGAAAGATAACAATTTGTATGAAAAATAATTTCAGCAGGAAGATACCTTGTCTGGGTCGGTGAAGATCATGGAGTTCAAGGGCTGATCGGAGAGGAATTCGTCAAAATGCTGGATTAGCTGCAGGGCATCGTGAGCTCGTTGCCTCGGTTGATGAACCTCAAGGAAAATTCTAATTCTCAAAGGCTATGCGAAATTCAGTTAGAAAAACTGCGATATGACAAACATGGTTGTGAAGAGCAGCAACGTGCTAGTCTTTAGTGAAACTCTGTTAATGGGCCAATAAATGCAAACCCAAATACAAAAGATCCTTACCGATTCCAGCTGATCACCCAAGTGGACTACTTTGGTGGACACAGATTGCATGGTTGCATCAAGTTGCTAAAATTAAATTCAGAAAATCAAGATCATCATTATAGGAAATGATCTACCTTGACTTTATCTATAGCTTCAGCATTCCTCTCATACAACCGCTGCAACTGATTAACATATTCACGTTTTTCTTTATTGAGTTCGTGCTCGAGTATTGAAATTTTGCTCTAAACAAAAAACAATCAACTGAATATAATGACTTGGCTAAGAAATACCTGGAACTGATCGCAAAGCATTTGCAGACTTCCTATCTCCTCTTCGAATTTATTTTTCAGCAACACCGGGTCATTGATCGTTTCTGCTCCTCCGGTCATACGCCAAGCCACTCTTTCGACAAAATCTATCGCGTCAAACGGGTCCTGAAGAGCAAAAAGAGGACCATTTTGAAGAAGAAATTGGAAAAACTAAAGAATAAATAGTAACAAATCCGAAAGTTTATAACACTAGATAAATGAAAATCACCTGCTCCAGATCCTCGACATAAGTGGCGAAGTACTGACCGCTCATGTTGTAGCTGAGACCTCACCAATTTTCCCGTCCCAACGCCAATATGCCTAAAATGTTTTATTTCACATTTCACACAAATCACAGTTCTTCATATACAGAACGGCTAATACGAAAAAACGAGAGCTATACATATTGACAACGAAAAGTACATGAGGAGAAGGTTAGAAACCAGAAGAAAATGCCATCACAGTCTTGAACTATGTGTAAGGAGACTTGACTGATTGAATGGAGATCACAAAAAACGGATAATACTGCATGAAGAATAGGCGGTGAAAATATAGTTAGACTATGTGAGTGATATAGTCTCATATTAGGCACCAGAACTTTCATAAGACGGTTATAATGATGTTAGATTACTAGAAACTCCAAATTGCTGCACACCAGCCCTGTAATCCTTCTAGAAACAAATGAAAAAAATTCGGCTCAAGTTTTCATGAGTAAAGAGACAAATTAGGCATTTCTATCGAATGGTTTCGGGTTGGCCGGAGGCCGTCCTTGTCGATTAGAAGGTCCTGGTGCATTCGGATCCGTAGGCTCTTCATAAGTGGAAGATTCCATCTGAACCGTGTCAGCAGGTCGTTGTTCTTCTCCGTTGTTTGGAGACGCAGTTCCATCGTCCATATGGTCGTCGATCCCATGGTAGAGAGGAGAATAAAATGGCTTCTGCACAAAACGTAAGGAGGCGTTCTCTCCATTCCATCCTCTAGAGGTGCTCGGTCCAGCCTGGCCAACATCATCAGCTCTTGGCGGGCTCTGTGGAGGGCTGATCGCTCCATCTGTGGCAATCGTCCGTTCGGCTGAGCTGGACGGCAATGCAGTAGGTGGTGCAGGATCATCCTGTGTGCTGGTGGGCGGAGTTGTCCCAGCAGCTTGCTGTGCAGTTGGCTCAACTAGAAAATCCCATATAAGAATAGTGTCGTCATGAGAGCTGCTGACGATTTGAAAATCATCAAATTGCAGGCGAAATACGCGTCCAGTATGTTGTACCAAAGTGCTGAGACATAGCGAATTGGGCGATGAACGTGGGTCGAGCGCAGCTTCCAAGTCCCAAACTCGAATTTTTCCATCGTAAGCTCCAGAAACGATACGCTTATCATCGAAACGAATACATCGCACAAGTTCTTCATGGCCTTCAAGGACGCGCAAACATACTCCAGAATGAATATCCCACAGTCTGATAGTGTTGTCACTGGATCCCGAAACGACAAGGCGTCCTCGATACTGTAGACATGCAATACCTCGTTTGTGTCCAGAAAGAGTGCGTACGAATTCGTAACTGTCAGCAGACCAGACCTTTATGGTTCTGTCTCCAGACGCACTGACTATATAACGATCATCGAAGTCGACAACATTCACAGCGGCACGATGTCCTACCAGAACTCGCCGAAGATTTATTTCACGCGGGGACACCATGTCCCAAACAGCAATCGAACGATCTTTCGAACAAGTGACCATGATGCCATCGTTGAAACGAAGGTGTAGAACAGCTTCACAATGATGAATCAGCGTATTCAGACATTCTCCCGTCTTAACATCCCATACACGGACGGTAGCATCAGAAGAACCTGAGATGATGACCCTCTCGTCATACTGTAGACATAGCACAGAACCCGTATGTCCAGAAAGTACCCGTTCGCAGCTCAAATCCTGGCGATTCCATACTTTGATGGTATTGTCACGAAGTCCCGACACGATCTTCTCGTCGTCATATTGCAAACAATAAACTCCTTTACTATTCTCCGATCGGCAATTGATAGTGCTCAGTTTGTAAACGCCATTGCGCCAATTCGACTCGATCTTCGCGATGTCATTTACCACTTTTGGGAAAAGTTCTCTGTAGAATCGATGTTGTAACATGACCATCTCCGCAGAACCTCGCATCATCTCATATGGAACTCGATAGTTGTTACAAATCTCACTTGCGGCACATTCTCTCGTAGCCATGATGAATTTACGCCATTTTTTCTTCTCACTCAGTCCTCGCCACATATTGTCCAGTCGAACATTTCGTTCAATAAATTTCCTCCAAAGTTGGCCTCTAGCCAGCACTGCTCTCCATTTTGTGCTCACAGCTTCACAAGCGGCTAATGTTCGAGAATCCAAGTTGTAGAGAATAACTTCGGCAAGATGCTGCGGCAGCAAAGCGATAAAATCCCTTTGCAGCATCGGCTGAATCAGCATATGCGTGAAGAATAACTGATTATGAGACATGCGACTGAGAATGCGTTCGATAAAATCCAGCTGCTCATGCTCATTCCAGTTTAAGCTGAACTTCTCCAGAGTTGCATCGCATTCGCTTAGGTATTGATCGCTAAGACTATCACTTGGCTGGTGATCATCAGTCAGAGAAGTGTATTGCATCTTCTTATGCTTTCGGTAGATATTGATCTCCTAAACAGGTATAATAAATTTATGGTTATAATTCTTTTTCACGCAATATAGGAGCAGAAATCTTCCGCAAGCAATGCCGAACTTTCAATCCAAAGATAGCGTTTATACTCGCCATCAAATCTACAGTCACCTGGTGTGATTACACACAATTCAAAATTGCTTGCAATTTGATTACGGCCTGAAGATCCTGTTCAAGCGAGACAAACCTATACTGGAGCTAGTTTTCACCAGGTGACTGCAGATTCCCCGTAAATCTACTCAAATGTTTTCTTTCGCAGAGCAATGCATAGTCAACTCTTAGAAGTTTTGCGAACCAAAGAAACGCGCAAATATCACCGCTACGCCCGTCACAAAAGCATCACAGTGATGTACGCAACGCGTCACGAATCCGTAGCTTCAGAATTTCTTGAAACGACTATGCATGCAAAAAAAACCAGTCATATTGACCAGTTTTTCTCCCGAAAGCACAAAACACTACGCTAATGTACAGTGCAGTAAATTTGATGTTTGACATAGTGTACAGGGCCCCTAAATTGCAGAGTCGTTTGCACCAGCGGTCGCGCGACCGCGTCGCGCCCATGCATTTTGCCGGCGCCGGCGCCATCGATCGAGGCGGCGCCATTGATGCTCGGGCGCGACGCGGTCGCGCGACCGCTGGAGCAAACGACTCTGCAGTTTAGGAGCCCTGTATATTCTGCGGTGCCGACCACACTTGCTCGGAGAAAAATGCTATCCCTGTGATGTCGACGGCTTGCGCGCAATACGGCGTGGGACACGGTCATATTCTCACGCACAAGTGTTGTCGGCACCGAAGTGACGCTATAACGACTGTCAACTTAACTGTACTGTACAAACTACTCTTATTTTCGGCACTATCACCATATCTCCAACAACGAAAGCGATTCTAGATAATCATGGTTTTCACCTGGTGAAATACAACAGAACATTTTACTATGTACATTTTTATTGTACAGTACGGCACATTATAAAGGTCAGAGTTTGTAGATTAGTAACTCTTATTGTTCTAATATCTACCAATAAGATATACTAATGCCATCTGTACAAATCTGACGAGGATAAGCGAATCTTATTATTACGATGTTTCAAGTACAAAGGATTAAGGCTACATCGATATAGATCGAAATCAGTGAAACAATTCATAGCACATAGATGGCAATGACAGAACAATAAGACACAATTATGAGAAATCTTTTCTATTGTGGATTGACAATGAGGAGATTTCTGATACTTCTCTGACATTCGGTGCGTGCGGCGCGCGCTTGTTAATGGCCAGCAGTGCGGCCCGCGCGCCTAGATTTACGGGCTGGGTCATGTACCGTGCGGCCCGCGCGCCTTGTATCCTTAGCGTACGGCCCGCGCGCAATATATTCTCCCCGTGCCGCCCGCGCGCCTCCAATTCTCACACGCTATGAGCGTAATAGGTACCCGCGTGAGGTACGACGCTATGATTAGGCTGCTCCATCACTTGCGGAGCTGACTTAGGTATCATTTCTTGGCATTTGTGTAATCGTAGGAACATAAGAAGTTTCTTACTTCTACGGAGGTTATCCCTCGACAGCGTGTCGCGAATGGGTGCTGAACTTGAATTTTGAATTCTGTGAATTCAAATTCAAATTTTCGAATTTTTTGAGTTCGGAATTTTTTTGGACTGTGAAGTTGAGAATGCTCACGGCACCACGGAAGAAGAAAAAGAAGATCTATGAAAGAGACTTATTTTCTAGTAGCTTGCGGACGGAGCGCTTTCGATACCGTGCGGCCCGCGCGCATTCACCGTTCGGCCCGCGCGCACGGAGCGTTCGGCCCCCTCGCACTACAACTCAGACACTCGCTGCGGCGGCGCGCGCGTCTTATGCGTGCGGCCCCTCATGTCGCCCGCCGCCGGCCGTCAAATAGCGCGCGCGCCGCGAGTAGATGGCACGCGCGCCGCGAGTAAATGGTACGCGCGCCGTGAGTAGATGGGACGCGCGCCATACGATAATGGCACGCCGCTCGCACGGTATGAAATTTGCCATTCGCATTTGAAGCACTGCGAATCACGGTGAATCTGTGGTAGACCTGATGACAACCTTCAATTTCAGGCAAACAATGGCTTCAATTTCAAATATGAACTTGAAGTTTCCAAAGTTTCCAAATTTTTGAAATTTGAAAATTCAAATTTCAAAAATTTAAATTCCCAAACTTGAATTCAAACTCGGCACCTACTCGCGGTGCTTATGGGGACTGCGTCTCAATGGAAGAACTAGAAGAATCCCACTTGTGTTAATGAGACAACTCCATTGCGAAACAGCGATAACCTTAATGAATTGGCGATAAAGCACCCAAAACACTGCTTCGTACCTCACGCAGGTATCGCTTGTGCTTACAGCGTGTGAAAATGCGGAAGATATCATGGCACGCCACTCACTGATAGATTGCGCGCCGCTCGCACTCTCAACTAGGGCGCGCCGTTCGCAATACAGTGTTATAGTGGCGCGCGCGCCGCCGCGCCTAGTGTCGAATAAGCGCGCCGGCGGCCGTAATAAGGCGCGCCGCTCGTTGGCTGCGAACGATGGCGCGCCGCTCGCACTGCAGCCTCAACTGTGGCGCGCCGCTCGCACGGCAGCCTCAAATAGGGCGCGCCGCTCGCACGGCAGCATCAATTAGAGCGCGCCGCTTGCACTGTAGCGCTATTATGGCGCGCCCGCCGCCGCAGCGAGTGTCTGAGAAGGCGCCGCACGGGGAGCACGCGCGCGCCGCACGGACCGAATGTCAGAGTTGTTATTATCATACATAATTGAGCATTAGTCCCACCCCTTTACAGACAATTCCATGTGATATTGCTTAAGAGCAATTTTTGGCATCGGACCACGTAATAAATTATCAAACTACTATATACTATGAGGAAAACTGAGGAAAACTACACAGCAGTCGCAGCAGCAGCGTCACGCGCTGCTTGTTTCTCGGCCTTTTCTTCATCTCTGTTAAAGAACAGCAACGGAAACATTCCAATAATGCAACCAATTGAGAGACCAAAGGCACGAGAAGAATGGGTTGTCCAACGAGCCTAAAAGCAACTCACTAGGCTACCAATTTATGGAGTGAAGCAGTCGGCTCAAGGTACAACATACCTTCGAGCTATCGAGCTGCTCTGACGTCAGCACTGGATGTTTGATGCCAACTTTATTGACAAGGCCTTCTACATAATGTGCCAAACCTACGCCTGCCACGTCAGAGATGAGATTTCCAAGAGCTGCAGCAGCCATGGTGGAAAGGCAGAGAAACGCACCAAGTTGCTGAATAAAAATTGATCGACAAAATCGAAATGGTCCAGTTCACTACTCATATCTGAAGCAGATGTGCTTACAAAAATTCAGCTTTCTAGGAAAAAGGCTATACAGAATTCGATCCAATGAGTTTTTCTCTGAATACATGCCTAGCTATTAAGCGTTGAAGGCTGATGAGAAGGTGGACCACTTACATGCATATTAGATACTTACTGGAAGGCCTTAAAGGCAGCATCCGGGCAGATCTGCACCTATGGGGTTTTTACGTGGAAAGTACTTTTGGGGCCTTAACTAAGGCACTGCCCAAGCGGCAGCGCAGGTAGTGCTCTAACACCTGAGATATTCCCCTTGAAACTGGACCCCGCAATCGTATTCGCATGAATTCATGGCAGTTTCGCGCCAGGATCCACGCTTTACACCATGAATCCATGCGAAATACGATCGCGGGGTCCAGTTTCGAGAAGAATATCTCAGCCTTAGAGCACTACTTGAGGTGACGGTTTGGCAGTGACTTAGTTAGGGCCTCAAAATTACTATCCACGTGAGATCCCCATAGGTCCAGACTTGCCTGGACGCTGCCTTTAACTACGCCAATGCCCAAGCTGCAACTCATATGATTTTTCGAGACTAAAAACTAAAATCTGAACTGTTGCCCAGACCGTACTCTTTGACACAGATAATCATATGCCATACTCGAGAGACGTTAATGACTCTGCTGTGAAGAAAGTATGTCAGAAGCTCAAAAATCAAGAGGCATATAAAAAAACATGAACAATACGGTCAGATAATACTCATAAACGAAGCTCACCTGATCAATGTATTCTCCAGCGCAAATCATGATCAAATTATCAAGGAATCCGAAACCGATGAATGGCAAAGAATTCACCAGAAACAAGGAACGTATCTGTCCTCTGCTCATTGGAACGGGCTTCTCCTGGAAGCATAATAAGTTAGTCCTCTGAACAGACCATTCGTCATCTTTTGTAATCCTACTATACTGAAAATTGAGAGAAGATGACATACACCATCAACATCGTTTTGTGATGCCGATACGCAGCAACACTTGCACTTTGTTGGAATGCCGGTGCAGACAGGCGATTTCCGCTCATTCGAAAGATTGCGCGAATTGCTCAACAAAACTTCTGTCTGTACTTTGACGACAGATTACGATAAGAGTAAGGTGCAAAGCGTTGGTCCGACGTAACGCAAGGGAAAACGGGAACCAACATCATGGAAGTTCGATTTTATGTTTTTGCCATAATACTACAGCTTCTAGTACCAAGTAAACGTCCCTGCGTAATTCCCAATCAAAACTTCACAAACTTGGCGAAAACGCTGGCTAAGAACGCTTCATCGAGTTTAGATGGCATAAATAATTTGAGGCTCTCAGAAAGGGTATGGGCGACTACACCGCACTGAAAAAGGCTCCCCGCATTATCTAGGTTCACCGTCAGTGTAAAAAACTAAGAAGATGAAAGACTGAGGATTGATATAAGATTGTTACCCCATCCCAGCCAACTTTTAGCCTTTTCTTCACTTCTCGCGCGAGAAAATATGATCAGAACAACATTATTCAACTGTCTAGAAAAAAGACAAGCATGACTCAAAAAAGCTGAAAGTTCGTTATTGAGCTTTACTTCCATGATATCGACGGTATGGAAACTTATGAGACATATTCGAAAAACAAAGGACAATAGCTCGACACTCGACAACAGCACTTGTTCCATAGCCTCCCAAATAGGTAAGGAGAGAATATAAGCAAACATAGAATAAAAAATGCTACGAAAAATTGCGGTAAAACGAGAAGCCCAACTCCACGATAACTTACCGAATCTTGACGCGCAGCTAGTTCATCCAAAGCTTCGCGCAGCAATTTTTGCTCCCTTCGCGACAATCTTGTGGCTATCTAAAGAAAGATATCCTCATAACATAAAACAAAAACATCCTAATTATAGTGAAGTTTGCATACCTCTTGCGCGCCATAGGCATCTTCAACGACGATTTTATCATAGTAATGAAATGCGCTAGTGGTCGATTCACGTTTCACTACAGGCCACATTTCTATTGATAATCGTCGCTGGACAATTGGACAAACGACACTCGTTGTATCACATGAACGAGTGCTGTTGACGCGCGAAAGGAGACGTCCAGTCGAAGCCAATAGGCGCATGCGCTAAAAGTTGCGATATTGCAAGGAGCGGATAAAACAGAGAAGAAAATAAACGAAGAAACTACAGCAATAAAAAAACTTCAGCTGGACGCAATTATCTTTTCATGTTGACATTCACCCTAATTTCTCAGTGAATTCTTAATGAAGGAAAAACTACTAGGAAATGCTTTCTGACAAAAATAAGAGAAGAAAGGCGTTGAAAAAAGACACAACAGAAAAAAATGCGACATTCAAACTAAAGCTTTCGTGCAAGTGCAAAGCAATAACCGCAATAATGGCCGGTTTGCTCTCACATATTTAGCAAGAAAAAGAATCGTATGACGTCTATGCTTCGCAAATGCGACAGAAAAAAGATCTAAAAATCACCTAAAACACCTGCTAAAAAGTACCCTTTAAATGGCAACAGATAGAACTCAAATGATTAAAGGTGCATATCAAGAATATGGCAGGCTCCATCATGCGATGTGTCAGGCATTCTCTCGAAAAAAAACCTTTGTCAACATCATTGGCAATTGCACTTCAAAAAGAACTTCAAATCAAATCAGACTACGCAATAAATTGAATTGCGAGCAGCCGAGACTCAAGCGCGGGAATAAGAAGTAAAAAAACGAGAGACACGTAGGCGAATGCATTAAGGGCAATCCAAAGAAATTGTTTTGAGTAAACACACCATATGGTCTCATATTTTGAATCGGCAATGCGATAAGCAGCTGCAAAAGATAAACAGAGGTTGAGCAATTCCGCGGATACGTTACAGATAAAGGCACCAAAGTCGGAAGCATGCATGCGGAAACATTAAGAAAGGGACAAAGTAGCATGAGCAGTATACCGGGCAAAAAGGATAGTTTACGACAGGAAAAAATGGTGCTAGCAGTTCACAAACCGCTTCAACACAACTTCCAAGTTTATGCGTTCTTTTATGGCTTTATGTCCCCGAATCAGAGTATATGACAGGCGAGAAAAACTGATTCGTAGTTCACGAGGAGAAGTTCCAGAGAAAGTAGGAAAGAACAGGAAATTTATAGTAATGTAATGTATAGTAATGAGCAATAAAGACATGAGTTTCAAGAAATAATTTTTTTCCTACTCAAGAACAAACCGGCTCATTGAGCATGCGTTTCAGAAAGAGTGTTCGTCTTCTCGTACAACCTATTTCAGAAGAGAATAAGCAAGAAGTAAAGTCAGGTAAGAGTATTCAAAGACCAAAAATGCGCAAAATGCCGAACATAATTTTTCAAAGATGCTAAGAAGAAGTGACAGCAGTAATCAGCAAACAAATGCGTAAAGGAATAGTGAGTCGACATCAAAGGTAAAAAGGAAAGGAGCAATCAATCACCGCAGCAGAACGGTTAGACTTCCTAATTCTTCATAAGTGGCACAAATGAATCAAACAGATTCCCAATGACGCAGCACAAATGAAGATACAAAAGTGGAAAAAACCACTCAAAAAATCACATCTGTCATCAATATAATATTTATTTAGAAAATCAACAAAGCAAATTGCAAATAAAAACTTGGGAACAATCATATATCAACAATAACACCGGCAAGTGAATAATCAATTTGAAAAGCCTATTATTATTGACGACGAAAAGATAAAGCAAAGCAGAAGAGGAACTCGCGCATAATATGACTATAAAGTGAAAATAAAGTGTTGACATCTACGCAGACCACTTGCAACGTTGCTTAGCTGAGTGTCACAGGTGATGCACTTTTAGTGCAATCAAAAGTATCAACACCAGCAGTGTATTATTACACAGATAAACAGCACTGATCAGTATCTGTTATCGTGACCATAGTAATCGCGACCACCACCTCCGCGACCTCCACGACCACGGCCTCCTCCTCGATGGCCATACCCTCTCCCACGGTCTCGTGGATTGTCATAAGCAGATCCTCGGTACTCTTGCTGCGTCTAAATAGCCACCCGGAAATTTTCGGAGACTACTGGCCGATTAGACTGCTGAATCTAGGCCAAAATACATAGAAATTTGCAAGAGGAGGGAAATAGAATAGTATTCGGCAACGTCTTATTGTTAGATCTCGTGATACAGACTGGCCTAAAGACCACGCAAAGTTGTAATTCAAAAACGTCACGAAAAAGCTCTTTTCGATACATCTTGATAGGTTTTGATCTTATGAATTTTAAATTATTGAGGCTGACAACCATACGAACAAGGGAGAAATCCTATGGATTCAAGACTAGATTAAGAACGAAGAAACGTCTCTACTTACCATCTGCTCTCGTGATATTCCTGCATACATATCCTGTTGCGCAAAATACGGCTGCCCTCGTTGCATCTCTTGCTGATTGAAGTGACGAGTTTGCTGCGGAGCTGATTGTCCTCTGAAACCACCTCCACCTCCACCACGACCGCGGCCCCTTTGCGCAGCTGAAAGAGATATAAAGAAATTGAGATTCGGATTAATCAAAAACAAGGGAAAAACATGCGTTTACTTGGCTAAAAGATAGTAACAATTCGAATGGACATGGTCAACTCACATGCTTGCTCTCTTGCTATGTCTCCCACCATTTCGTTTGTACGTCCACCACGGTCAGCAGGCCTTGGTGCAAGTGCGAGCGGATTCGGCATGGAACGCGTATTCTTTCTAAATCCAAACTTTGCTATAAATGGGCTCGCTTCAAAGCGCCTCTCACCTGAGTCTAGCGCTACTTGTTTGTTCAATTCTAAGTAAATCATGACTAGCAGCTAAGAGACACGCTAAATCTGGTGGTGTCACATGCGACATGGCTTCTCTTCGTTTAGCAAAAAGGTCTCGAATTTCCTTCTCACGAGACTTGAGTCTGTCACTCCTAAAAAGGTGGAGAATCAAGCCTTAAGCATAAAAATCATCACTGAGCAATTCTTTATGATAAACATATTGTATGCTGGCAGAAAAAGAGATGCCTCACCATAAAAACGAGTTCACCGTAACATCGATTCGTTTCAACAGCACAAGACATCGAGAACGACAATTTTGTGCAGTGTCACTGACCAGCTAAGAAAACAGGAATGAAAGGGAGAATCCAGTCAAATGAAACTGCCAAATGACAATTTCAAGATACCTTATCTACTTTCCTCCATTGTCTGGCGTCTAGTTTCGCAGTAAAAATCGGGGTCGGGCGTTCTGCGCAACTTTGTAGTCTTGCGTCAGCCTGAAAAGCAAAGCAAATGACGCAAACTAGCGCTGACTACTGGAGATGGGAAGTAAAAAAAAATGGAGCATTAGAAGCGACTATATCATTTTTTTTTTCGCAAAAAGTACCTAATAGAAGAAACTATCCAAGCCTTACCGCTTTGTGCAAAAGTGAAATCATTTCCACCGGTGGCACATTACCAGCAGGTTTCGGAGCATTGACAGCTTTGAGCGCTGAAGTCAGAAATGGAGTCAATTCTTTGTCTCCGCCTTCCTAGAATGATGCAAAAGCTGAGACAAAAAAAACATTCAGCCCTAGTTAACTCACAGCAACGGGCTGAGTCAATGCATTTTTTGCGAACAAACGAGCAGCTTTGATCTCGTTGAAAAGGAAATTGACAAGCAATTTCCTCTTTGCTGGAGTGCACAATCTCTCCTCCAACGAACCGCAAGTGATTTCCTCGTGTGGACAATCTACATATACAATCTATATCTACAAAAACAAATGGAAAAGCAAAAGGATTATTCGAATGACTTTTTTATACGAAAGAACAAAACGAGTTAAAAAGGAAGTGAGCTCAAGATCTGCGTTATAAACTAGGGTGTTTATGCTTTATTACAAAACCCAATTGAGAAATCATGATTTTTTGACAGCCTTATTGAACTTCCTTTTTCACCCGGTTGGTACATATGAACTTTTAATGCCTTCGGTTGCAGAACCATAACAAGGAGACAAACTCAGAAGAGAGTTTTGGGGTGACAATGATAAATTGCGTATCCGAACAGCTGTGAAAGACCCGAATCTCTATCACATCCGTTCGCTGACATGATTACAATGGAAAACGATCTTTGAACTGAGAGTGAGAAGGAAATGAGTTTCGTGTCGAAGTTTCAACCTATCAGCTTCTCACATTGAAATATTTCATATTCAACACCAAGAAGTACCCTAAATTTACGAGTACAAGACGCACCTGCGTTTTTTTTTTCTAAATACCAATCTGAACACAACAAAGAATTTCGCGATCGAAAAAAGAACCTATACAGTGCTGCATATTGCTTGAGAGTATCGTGCGGCATAAGTTTTATTTCCCGAAACAAAGCGAGGCGGCTGAGCGGCTTGCTAAAAAAAAATCGAAGCTACGCCTTGTACTCGCGAAATTAGGGCAAAAAAAAATTTTCACAGAATCTTTGCTGGTCCCAACAAGATTAAATAGTTAAATCTAGAATTGAGTAATTTTGACGAACATGTTCAACTGTCAAAAATGCGGTGAAGACGTGTGGTGGATGTGCCTTACCTAATTCTCCCAAGAATGAGCTAAGCTCTAGAAGGAATGTAAAATTGCCATCATCTCCCTCTCCGAGCTGAGGTACCGCTTCTTGGAGGTTGCACAATGTTTTCAACTCCTGACAAAGGGTCGTTATACATCTGGCGAAATCAGCAGAGAACTCGGCATTTGCAAGAGCTGTAAGATCATCGTGGCCGACCAATTCCTTCAATCTAAAAGCTGGATCTTGTTACAACGTCTCATAGGTACGAACAGCTGAAAATAAAGTTTGGAAACATTCCTAAATTGAAAACGCTTGTGCGTTTAATACATTTACTGGCTTGTTTGAACAGCCGCTTCTAAAATCAAATCTCAGCAAATAGTGAGTACTAATAGCATTATTTCAAATTATGCACTATATTGCCGCTGAAAATTATTTGAGAACACTAAGAAAGTAACATACCCTTGTTCTATGACAAGAAAACTTACGAGAAAGTCACGTTAAATACGAACTTACCCTAACAATTTTGCTGAGGAAAACGAAGGCACAGCAAGGTCCACTTCCATTTCCTCCATGGTTTAGTCTCTGAAGCGGCCTCCCGACGTCCCCAATTGAGTCACCACTATGGAAAAGCCAGCAGTCAGCTCTGTTTTTTTTTCGCGTGGGAAAATTATCGTCTGCACTGTTGCGTCGGCATAATACACAACATGAAAAGTACAGTCGGCTTGAATGCGCAGCAGTCTTATTTTGCGCTGTTCTTCCTTTTTTGAACTCTCTAGGAGTTTGATTAAAATCATAGTATATTTATAGTGCTTACTCATTAAATCATTTATTTTAGTGTCTGCGATGTCCCTAATACTAATTATGGGGTTGCCGGCAGCAGGAAAGTCGACACTTGCTTCGAAGCTGCTCGAATACCGTCCAAACTCCGCTTTATTTTCCTTGGATGAAATAAATGGGAGATGGTCAAGCGATTTTGAAGCACATAAGGACAGAAAAGCCTTCGAGCAAAAGGTACGACTGCATTTGGAGCAAAAACGCATCGAAGAATTTGACAATTGGATAATTGTGGATGACAATTTCTACCTCCAAAGTATGCGTCGACCTTTCAAAAGAATGGCCCGGGCGTTTGGGATGCTTTACTTTTGCATTTTGGTGGAGATCGACCTACGATATGCTCTACAGAAAAACTCGAAGAGGGGTGAAGATCGAGTTTCCGATGAAACAATCATAAAAATGTCAAGAGAAATGGAAATTCCTGAAGATGCTTTGGTATATAGAAGTCAGGGACTAGAGGAGATTGTTAAACTCCTCAGCCAACCTCGTCCAAAGCGTGTAACAAAGCAAGCGCTGCCTTCTTCTCAACCTTCTCCTTCTGTTTTGTCCGAAATGGATCTGCTGTTGAGGTCTGCAGTGTCAGAAGCTGTACGAGAAGGGTTAGATGGTCGAATACTTGCTGCTGCGAAGAAAGCTGTGATGAATCTTTGTAGACAGTCCGAAAATGCTTTACACAAAGACGAAATTCGGAAATTGCTGTTGGACGAGTACTTCGCCATCATGCAGCGTCAAGAAGATGGAGATCCTCGTTGAGGTACAGTTTCATGAATCTGACGGTTACTGTAGCGTATTTGAAGACAACATTTGCACTTGAAAATACCTATGGAGAGCACAGCGTCATTGTTTAGGCACAACTGTTGTTGCAGATTCATTTTTGCAGCGTCTTCAAAGCCTAGACCTTGTTATGGTTGTGAAGTGGACTTACATAAATAGCTTGGGAAAGATGCTTTAGTGGATGGTTCATGACACAAGATATATCTGCTTTTAAATTTGGGTAGGCTCCTTCTCCATGTAATTTTACTTAGGCCCGGCCAGACTTCGCTCAGGGAACGGCCATAGGTTGTCGGTGTTGTTGATGTTGTCGATGTTGTCGGTGTTGTCGGTATTGTCGATGTTGTCGATGTTGTCGGTGTTGTCGGGGTTGTCGGGGGCAGAGACAGTTTAGAGAGCGCGCGAAACGTGGAGGCTATCATGAGGTCCTACAACGACCTGCAATCTCGGCAATTTCGGCAACCCCGACAACACCGACAACACCGACAACATTTGGCCGTTCCCACAAAAGCGCCCAAAGGCGCTCAGAGCGCTCAAAAGCGCCCAAAGGCGCTCAGAGCGCTCAAAAGCGCCTAAAACCACCCAAAAGGGCTCAAAGGCGCGGAACGCCCCTTTCGCGTGCGCAACATTTGACGCTGGAGAGCATGTTCCGGCATTCCGGCGCTTTTGAGCGAAGTCTGGCCGAGGCCTGTGGCCTATGCTTCACAACTCATTCTTTACAGCCATACTGCCACGGCAAAGTACCTGAACAACGGAACAGTGCCTAGGGTTCGCACCACGTTCCCCTTAATTTCTCATTATATATTTGCGCTCCTCGTGTTCATTGTGAGTGCATCAGTTCATTTCGATTCGTATATGAATGACATTTGAAGACGACCATTCCATTGCAGTGACTTGCGGAAGCTATCCAGCCATTCTTGGTTACATCGAACTCTGGTCTTCTCTGCGAGAGGTTACTGAGAGCGGGCATTTACTGTTGGTACGATCTATGACTATACTCTTTCAAGTTTTTCTCACCGAATCAATTTATGTTGAGATTTTTCGCCGTTTTCAGTGGCGCTTACTCGAATTTTATTACAGGTAGCTGCAGGCGATTTTGAATCTACGGGATCTGCCGTGTAGTCACAAGGAAATCCATTGATGGTCGAGGTTTTGCCGTGGGGCATATGTTTGCCAATCCAAGCAGATTTCTCGCTTTGATCTAACATTATAACTTCGCACTGCCGCAGCGTCCGATGGCGTCTTTGGAGGACAGCGGAACTCATGGAAATGTCGAGATGCAGACTCTGTCAGACGTCATGACAATCGCCGCGTGGGCGGTACAACTTCAGATGAGCTGTGCCAATGGGTGACCGGCGGTCCCCTCCCCAATTCTATCCCCTTTTTATATATATGTAATAATGATAAAGTAATCTAGTCAAGAACTGTCTTGTTAAGAAGCAAGATAACAGGGTAGAGGGACCAAGTCTCGAGATTAGCTAACTCGTTGAACTTGACAGAAACTAACTTTTCCATTAGTGTTAATACAGTCTGTCCCAATCGGGATCAGGCCAAAACATTGGAGTAGTTTTGCGCGTTCGCAGCGAGGGCGCGTTGCGTATGCGCTGCCGGAGAGAGCGAAGAGATTGAAGAGAGAGCAGACAAGCAAGCTGAAGACGTGACGCAAAAACCGTAGCGATGCGGATGCGCATCACTCCCATTTTGACCTGATGCGAAATGGGGAGGTGTATTTTAAAATCTTGAAAAGTTGTGTTCGTATCCATTAGTAGATAAATATGTAAAGGTCTGCAAAAGCATGTAACTTCTTCAAGCTCATTGTGGCCATTTACTTCCAACATATTCTTCCTTTAGCTCTCCTTTACTCTTACCTTGAAGTACAAACCTCCCTGTTTACTCTCACATTGACCGTTAGCATCGCCATGAGCTGCCGGCTAGGCAATATCTCTGAAACTTTGTGCTTCACCAGTGAGGAACAAATCCTTTTGATGCCTCGATGTGATTGATGTAATACCTATTCCGTGCTTAATAAATAGTTGTTGGGGACGTTAAGGCCGGCTAACACCAAGATCACGTGGCCGCTGCCAGTAAGTCGAGTTAGCGCCTAGAATTTACTTTACTTTTACCCACTGCTCTGCGGAACTATGACAGTCTTACAGTGAAAGCGAGAGAAAACTCTAATAGCAATCCCACACACTAAACTTGCTATAATGCTCTTCTTCTCCCCACCCTGGTGTCGAAGTTTTTTTTTGGCACTTCAATGCTAGGTGTCCTTTTCTTTTGCCTATCCTCCTTTTCCATCTTAGAGGATCGGCTTCCAACTGACCTTCATATTTGCCATTTCCTTATGATTGTTGTGTTATTGCTTTTGAACAAAATTGTCGCATTGTACATATTTTGTGTGATAATGAAAGGCTGTTGAGAGTTGGTGTGCGGTCATTGGATAGTGTCACTTTATTACCCAGAACGCGTTTTACTGAGAACAAGACGTAGGCAAATTTTTCACAATATATATTAGGTTGAACCGAAAGTTCTGTCGCACCATTTTCGAAAAATCATAACTTCTTTCTGTCACGACGATTTTGCGCAATTCGAATTTTATCTGAAAGCGTAAAGCATGTAGTTTCCAAGAGCTCCCTGGCGAGTTTACATGCTCAGGTGGCAGAGATAAAAATGAAAGAACGAGATCATCCGAAATTCGGAATTTTTAAGCAAGAATTCTAGAAATTCAGAAACTGTGCGATAAAATCCAGAAAAGCCATTATTCTAATTTTTCTTACATTTGATTACTATCTGAGTCAAGTTTATGCTGATCAAGCCCTTCTTTCAGAAGTTATGATTTTTTGAAAAATAATGCCGAAAATTTAATTTCTTAAGAATACATAGGAAAGTGATTTTTTAGCATTTTTTTTCAAAAAATCATAACCTTTGAAAGAAGGGCTCGATCAGCACAAACTTGACTCAGATAGTGATGAGATATAAGAAAACTTAGGATAATGGTTGTTCTGGATTTTATCGCGCAGTTTCTGAATTTTTAGAATTTTTGCTAAAAAATTCCGAATTTCTGATGATCTCGTTTTTCATTTTTATCTCTGCAACCTGAGCACCTTGGAAAGTCCTCAGGAAACTCCTGGAAGCTACTTGCTTTACGCTTTCAGACAAAATTTGAGTTGCGCAAAATCCTTGTGAGGCAAAGAAGTTATGATTTTTTGAAAATGGTGCGACAGAACTTTCGGTTCAACCTTAAAATTTCTGATGATCTCGTTTTTCATTTTTATCTCTGCAACCTGAGCACCTTGGAAAGTCCTCAGGAAACTCCTGGAAGCTACTTGCTTTACGCTTTCAGACAAAATTTGAGTTGCGCAAAATCCTTGTGAGGCAAAGAAGTTATGATTTTTTGAAAATGGTGCGACAGAACTTTCGGTTCAACCTAATAGTTCAAGAGGTTATGATTAGCAAGAGTGACATTATTCCGACAAGGATCTCTATGTGCATATTTCTCAAGACATCGACCGGCTCCTTAGGCGTCAATGGAAATCTCTTTCTGCTCAACTTGGAAGCTCGTGCTACCAAGTGGTCAATGAGTTCGTATTCTTTGTTTGGTGACCGCTGTACCAGCATTCGTGACAGCTTTTCACAGGCTTTGCGATATCTGGAAAACTATATTTGTTGTTCTGTAAGAAGGCCATATCGTTTGGGCGAGATTGGGTTCGCGCAGAAAGGGTTGGCGAATTGTGTATTTGTGCGTGGGTGGGCGGAGTGAGCCATTAGGGCGGAGTCAGCCAGTCTACCAGGGCGTTCCTCTGTCGACTTATGTTGCGCCTCCGCACTTCACAACGACTTGTTATCAGAAAATGTAGTAGAGTCACTAGCCTTTGATTTTTAATAACTCTAGAAATTGCTCGTGTGATGTCGTGGAGTGTTAAATGCATTTTATCCAAGATGACTGCAGCACCCTTGGCCTCCATCACTTTCGAATTCTTGCCGTGGTCTGTAATGAGTTTTCGTCAATATAGATGACACTTGAAATCTGAGTAGGAACCTGCAAATAATGGCATCAATATCATTGGTTTGCCTACTGTCAGCGATTCCAGTATGCTGCTCCATCCACCATGAGTGATTATTGCCTTGTAGTTTTGATGGTCTGAAAAAAGGAATTCAATTTGCCCAGTGATTGGCAGGTCAGGCAAAATTAAGCACATGGGTCTTTTATGCCACACATGATTAGAAAGCTTTAGTCAAGCTATTAGCTGAGCGGCAGCTTATATTGTTCTTTGGCCGAGGAATTCAACGCTGAACTCTTGCTCAATACCATATTCTCTTGGGCACACTGCGCTATGGGTACGATGCTGGGCGAGAGTTTGGAGTTCAATTTTGGACAATTCATTCAAGAAGTGCGGGTGCTTGGATTCGCCTAGATACTACCAGTAATAACAAAAACCTACTCATCAATCCTGCCTGGGGAATCCATTGTGTTAGCTCGACATTGGGTGGGATTGGAAGTGTACAATTTGCTGATTCATATTTGACAATAAATGTGATTTCGGGAAAGCGAGAGAAGGCGGTGAAGAAGTTGCTCTAAAAGAGGGGAATATACCCTTAGATTCAACTGGATTGACGGCTGGAAGGCAGGGCTTCGTGACCTCTCGCAAACGTGCTCTATAATCATTCTCCCATTGATTAAATAATTAATGAGAGAATGATTATAGAGCACGTTTGCGAGAGAGACGGATCCCCCGAGATTGCGCGGGTGCCTTCCAGCCGTTATATCAAAAGGTATATACAATGAAATTCGACGTTCAGTAAAGAGCCTCTGCGGTGAAGACAACATTTAAGCGTAAACAATAATACTGTGCGATCCACGAGTGTTTACGCGCAAGTCGCAGGTTGTCCGCACTTGCACGAAATTGTTCTCCCGTAAATGTTGTCGCCACCGCAAGAACACTATGTCGGTCTTGAAACTTCTGTAACTTACATCTTTTACAAGTTTTTGACTCTAACAACGCGGTCATAGTCACCCACCTGCATCTCAGGAGTCATATCCACAGTTCTAGCTATGGATCCAAATGTAACGAGTACAAATTCTTTAGTGGCTGAGTCGGCAATCTCCTTCCAGAACTGAAATTTTTTCATAATGCAAATTTTATGTTAATTTATCGTTTGCATCATCATATGCTATCCTCATTTTGCTTCTTTTTCTAATTTATCGACAACTAGTTGGCAAACCCGGCTCCGCCCGGGCCTGTCATTATTATATTCGTATTCAGCATGCTCGATTACCCCCCTGTGCCAACTCCCAGCCCTGTAGCTCCAATTTTGCAAAAAATCGATAAAATCGATATCGATCGATAACGAAAAGTAGCCTATGACACGCTCCCTGCCCCGAGGTATATGTGTGCCAAGTTTGGTCCAAATCGGTTCAGAAATAAAAATTTCTATTCCGCACATACGTACAGACAGACATACAGACATACAGACAGACATTCAACTTTATATATAAGATTATGATAGCTGCATACCGTATCCAGATGCTGAAGTCGTCTTTGTACCGTAATCCCTCCGATATAAGCGACCTTGTTCGAGGTGGGCATGGCAAAGTCGGCAGCAGGAAGGGAATTTACAATCACTGCGTCAGAATTCGTTGCTGTGTTGTAGAGATCTGAACGATTATGTTCCAGAAACGAAATGAATTTTTCTTTGAATTTCAGACCGTGTCTTTCAACTGAGCAATTTGAAAAATCCGTTCCACCTTTGCGTAATTAGAATTTTAAATTGTGATTTTGAAGTTATGAGTACAGACAGCAAACACTTACCTTCTCCGAATTTCAAATCTCCCGTGTTCCAGAAAATTCTTGACTCCCTCGCTCGAGTGTGTGAGAAGACTAGACGGGTGGCCGTAGAGATGAGCCAATTCTCGATGCGCTCAGCAAAGCTCATCTTGTCCGAAAGTGGTGCGAAAAGATCTTTAAAAAGAAAAAATACATCCAAGAAGTATTGATTTTGACAAAAATTCACAATCTTCTCCAGCAAATTAGTCAGTCTTAACCTTCAGAAATATCTATATTCTCCTTTTCTTTTGCGTTCTCAATGGTACAGAAATTCATGTTTTCTATTGGATTCCATATTCAATTCTCTAAAGTCTATTCCCAGACGAAATCGGATGCCCATGTAAGTGATTCGCACCTTGCGCGGCGAGGCAGATTACCGCGTTCGCGTCCGCTTCGCGCGATGAACCTTTCGCCTTCGTAGGAGACCGGAATTCATCCTTCCCTAATTCTACTGGAGTTCACCCACTTGGAACATAGCTGCTTGGATAATCAATCCCAATCGTTCTTGGTTGCTCTGCATAAGCCCCTGTTGCACTTAGCCACACGAAGCTGTTCAATCCAATTGTGCGAAAAATACCAAAACTGAAAAAAGAAAAATTGCAGATGATGAGATATGGGCAAAAAAATTGACTCACCCGCAAGAGTCGTACTGTTCGAGCATTCCCACATTAAATTTTTGCTCACGAAGGAAATCCATCAAATTATTGTCATTTGCCAAGGCTAGAATGCTATAGATACGATAGATTGTTTGAAATATAAAGTCTAGCCGATTTAACGACCAATATGGTGTTTCTGCGGTGTCAACAACATTTGCGTGTAAACAAGTGGCGGCATGCGCCTTGTGGCCATTTTCCCGCGCAATTCACAGCAGTTCGACGGCATTTATGGCAGTTGTTTTCGCGCAAATGTTCTTTTCACCGCAAATGCACTATATTAATCGTCTAAGCTACTAAAATGTTTTGTACGGAAATTTTACCTTCACAAGCCCGTACAAACACTGATGAAACCCGCATAAGCTTAAGGAAGATCTTATAATTCAAAGGTGAGCTGTCTTCATATGGGTTAGGATTTCTCCACAGCGTGCTTGTCAATTCGCCTGGCGCAATGCCGACATCTTCTCTCAGCAACTAGAAAGATTTCTAATAAATTTTTATTTTTCGGAATGGAACGGCATACTGTATAATTTCCAGACGGACTCGGCACGCTGCTGTCAATGTCTGGTATGAGCATTAGCTGAAAATTTCTTATTGGGATTATTTATATGTAAAATTTATGGTGTCTTACCACTTTATGTCCTTTAGAGGAAAGAATATCAGCGATTTTAGAATTAAAGGAAATATGACTGTAGGATAGGCTGGGAACGATCATAAGAATGTTTAGGGCGGATGTCATGGTAAAGCAGCTATACAAGAACAGAAGGATCATTCTAAACTATTACATGTTCTCCATCTAATAATGTCGAATTAATTGCAATTGTTTTATATATTGGTAGAAACAGGAATTTTTCCAGACTATTTAGATACAGGAGATTTTTTCAAAATAATCAGAAAGGAGATTTTTCAAAATAAATAAACCAAGAAAGTGTTTTCAATTTTGTGTACAGCAATCAATGCATTTCGAAGTGGTGCAACTGTTCTTTTTTTCATTGAAATTAAGCGAAGTGAAATAAAACACAAAATTCTATTGTGGACTGTAAGAGAAGCGATAATTTCTCAAAACAGTAAAATCTCTACTAGAAATTGAAAAGTGTCGTCTCGACTTTCAATAGTCGTCCCAATTGTCCTCATGCCCCTTTCAATGGACCATATATAGTTCATCCGGTATTGCAATTATAATGCACAATTATCGTCGAAACTCTCGAGACTTGGATGGCCTACACCCTTTTCCTTTCTTTCGAATTAGAATGGGGGAGGGCTTTTAGGTTTGCCGTTAATTATTTGGTGTAAAGAAAATTCTCGAGCACTAGAGGAGTTTTTCTGTTGCAAACACCTTTGATCTCTAGCAGCTCAATCCTTTTTGAGACTTTATAAGACATCCAATTTTTGAGTTTTCAGCACTTACTTTGGGAAACTACCATAGAAGGGAACGGTGAAGAAAAGCATGAAAAAATTCCCAAAGTTACACAAAAATATTTCGAATGAAATTTCCATTACTTAAAATATATTTCAGATGAAGTTTTCACATATTTGGAATGTCCGCCAAGTATACCAATACGCATTTTGGGTATTCTGGGTTTGGGACCAGCCAAATTTTCTAAAGTGGATGAAACTGGTAGGTGTTCTGTTTCTTTCAAAAAAAGTGTGAAGACATCACTAGATTATTTTGCAATTTTCTTCTTAAAACTCTTTTACTCGTGAAATTGTGAATAATATGATGTAATTAGTGTAAGTGCAAATAACCCTTACATAAAAGTGGCAGACAATTTTTCAAAGGGACAGAATTTTTTGCGCAGAGGGCTTTTCATCATCCAGTCTCTAAATAATTTCAAGTTCTGCTTATTCTTCGCAAGATGGTGACACTACCAGAAAGAGTAATAGCTCTAATCACCTAAAAATTTTTTCACATTAAATTTAATTTTATGGAGTTCATAAAATTTCCCTAACCGTATTAAAAAGGTAATTGACTTACAAATCCTTTGAAATTCATTCAGCTTTCCGTAATTAACTCTTAATCAAAAATTGACCAACTGTAAATTTAACCATGTATTCGACCTCAAAAAATTGCAAAATCATTTTTTGTATTTTTAGATGCACCCAGGACATTTATGGCTGTATTTGCACTGCTTGCGAGCTGCATTCTAGTAAAGAGACGTGTCCTAGCTGATAAGGAACAGCGTAGTGGCAGCGGATCCTGATGACAACGACTCGTCACCTCTTCATCTTCCTATGCTGTTTAACTGGTACAATTTTGCAGTTATATTTATTAATTCACAATGTTTTATTTCATAGTTTTGAGTAGGTTCGACTTATCAAAAAATAAGAAAAAATATCGGAGTTTCTTGAGTCGCTTGCTTCTTTGATTAATGTTCTGCACCTCTTTAGCACTCCTCGTTGCACAACCGGATCTTGGTGAGTTGAGAAGAAAAATCAAGAAAGATCCTGAAGGGTTCAAAGCAAAGCTCAAAGAGAACGAAAAGGAAGATCCTTGGTCATACACTAGGTTTCGTTTTTCTATCTATCGTCTTGGCATTCTTATTCAGTTTTTGCAAAGCGATTTTGGAAGAAAACCTTTTGCGATAGAGTTTTCTACCATTTTTAGGCTCCTCACCGTTGACTATGCTTTCGAAACAGAGACTGTGATGTACGATGTTCTGGAGAATAAACCACATGCTCCATCGACGAAACTAGCCGGAAACTTCTCATTCAATTCGTTGCACCATGATTTGGAAGGTGGGATGCTGGTCAAGTTCAATGTAAGTTTTTTTAACATCTGGCCATAGCCAAAGGGAGTTCCCTCTTAAAATGGATCACGAAATTTTGGAAGGTCAACATTATACATTTGCAAGATGTTTTTCTTGTTGTTATAAGAATTCTTATTATGGAAATCATTCTTTGCTATTCTTTCATAGAATTCATGCTTATTCCTTCCTTAAGAACTTCCTTCTCCTCTTCCTTCAAAACCACTTTTGTCATCAAAAGCACTGAAGACTCACAGACTATGTAACCTTTGATTCAACGGGAATGACGGCTGGAAGGCGGGACTTGTGACATTATTGAGACTGCTCGCGCCCGCTACGCAGTCCGCGTATCTCCCGCGCGCATGCTCTCTCATTCTCTAGCCTTGAATAATTCATAGCAGAAGAGAGCTCCTTGAATCAAAAGGCATCATTCTGTATTCTAGAAAATTTCTCTAAAGCTTTGCTTCTCACCTTATTATCAGAGCATATGGAAAACCTCATAAATTTTATCTCCTTATTCATGCTCGCGGCAGGACCTAATGTCTATAAAATAGTAGTTTCTTTTATTCTCATTGTTCCAACGCTTGCAAACTATCGCAAATCTTTCCTTTACACTGCATGTGCGGCCCACATTTCAACCTTTTTGCGGATACCAGCTTAAAATTGATGTCTACTCTGCAAAATATATTTATGAAGTTGATGAAACAGAAAATATATGAGAAAAGTGAAAATATGAAATGTGAAAATGCTCTCTGAGAGTCAAAAATCCTCAGGACTTGCGACATCGTTTCAAATTTAGGGAGTTTACATGATTGTATGATTCATTAAAACATAACATATTGTTTACTTCAAATCAAGGAAGGGTCACTATAAATGCTTTTGGTGTTATAAAGCTTGAGTTTTGATAGTCTACAAGGGTGGCAGTCCAATTCGGTGAAAACGAACGGATGGAAAAAAATTAGCCTAAATTTCAAAATAGTAAAAATATAGCATTCAATTTCAGATAACTGCTTGCACGACAAGAAATTGTGGGGACGTTCCAGATGTGTATGTGGCTTTTCATCAAGGTGGTAATAACATCCAAGAAGTGTTCTACGATCCCACGTGGGTGCAAATTCATAATAGGCGATTCGTCGCACGCAGACACAGGGCACCATTGCGGACGCGGTCGGCGTTTCTCTCATCAAACGCACTTTCGTCTCTCTCGCCGTCTGCGTCTCTTCTAAACTTGAATATCTTAGCCGGATGCAATAGCGTACACCTCGCGATGAATCTTGTATATGTGATTTGATAGAAATTGGACCTTTTCTAGCGATTAACTATGATAGTTCCTCTTTCATTTTTTTTTGAACCGCAATTTCGCATTCAAAATGAGTTTATGCAAAAAAAGTGCAGCTGTAAGCTCTCAATTTTCAGGCAATTCCCCGGACGAGAACCCCGCTGGAATTTTCTCTACGGATTCGTCAACGCATTATATACACCAGCTGAGAATGGCGGAGGCGATGAACAAATTGTGGTTGGTCACTCGCACAGCTATCTGTATCAAAAGACTAGATATTAATTGTTAAGGATACGGTGTACGGTAGATGTAAAGTGCATTTTACACGGCCAGAAGATCGACGTTTTCGACGGCAAATAAACAACTGCGAGATTAAAGGGGATTTGTAAGTCATTTGGGTTACGGTAGTTGGCAGACTCTCATTGGTTGCATGATTTGGCTTCCTACTTTAGTTTTTCTCTGTCTGCCAAAAAAATGGCTCTTTTAGTTATTTGAGCTGCTACGAATTTCAAATTTCGATTTTTCATTGCTGAAAATCTTCTAGTAAGTTTTTTTTATTAGGTACACCTAGCCATCAAACTTTTTTTTAGAAACTACACTCGCTTTGGAGGCCTACAACCGGTAAACTATGATCAAGATGCTCTGTATATGTAAGTGCCCATTTTAAAAAATATTCGTGACGGTGGCGCCCCCTCCCTCTCCCGATTTTTTCAAAAGGCTAAATTGATTTTCCAAGATTTCTCAAAAAATTTTTATTACTTGCAAATGAGAACAAGTTGCAAAATTTGTAACTAATGTAGGCTACTTTGTAAAACTTCGCAAAGCATTCTCAGGGGGGGGGGGGAGGGCAGTGCAAATTTCTACACAAAGAGTAAACGTTGGTTGAAAAAACTATCTCTTGTTTTATTTTGTCCATTTCCCAAAATTTGATGATATTCATGTCCTAATGACATGAACGTTCTTCTGGTGTGGATTTATCATGTCATATAATTTGAATATTTTCAAAATAAAGATTATAACGTTTGATAAGGATTCGTATTTCAGACAGAACACGAAAATCGACGCCGACATCGTTGTAATTGAAGCAGTGGAAATCTTAACCTTTCGCTCTCCTTTTGATCCGAAATGGGGATTCAGCGTGGAAAGCAGGTTGGTTCCTCAACCTGCAGATTATTGATTGGAAAAATTACATTTGAAATTGTTTATTTATCTAATCGGAAATGCATTTGACAGCTTTCAATATGTCAAAAAATTGAATATTTCAGGACCCATGTAGAGATCCGCAATCGCACCATGCATTACGTGAAGAAATACTGTAATGCAGACAATCAAACTGTATCACAGTGTGCTGCGCAAACATTTGGAGCTGTATCTGTCGGAAAGAAACGATACAATAAAGTGGTATTAGCGCGAACCAATAAGGAAAATAAGGTAAGCTCAGAAGCACTTCTTTCGGTTCAAAATGGATTTTGTCCGTTTTCTAGTTTGCAAAATTAGTGGAAGAATACCGTAATCATTTGTACGATATGGGCGAAACGCATACTTGCGAAAAACACTCGTCAATGTTTGCCCACATCGTTCAAGAGGCTAGACATGCAAGCGAAAAGGATTGGAAGGCGGTGATAATGCATCCGGAAAATGAACCAGTCTTGTAAGTTTTCTTTTAAGTTTATAGCTTCAGATGATTTCAAAAAACTGAATTTCTGCATTTTTTTTTGAAATTTTAGGCATGTCCTTGGTAATGTTCTTGGTGCGCTTGGAAGCAGAGAATCGCTAAAAATTGCCCGTGAAGTGCTTTTCGAACAAGGACCTGATTTCATCGACGATTATCTGTTTGGAGCTGCGCAAGCTATTAACTATGATGAGAAATGGCATAAGCAAATGATGGTGAGCGTTGCTGGCTATGCGAGAACTGGTCCCCGGAAGGAAGCTGGGGACCAGTTTACGCTGCAATTTAACTGTCTTTCCATGCATAATGACTTTGCTTACGGAGTCAAATTTTATTTTCATGCAAAGAAGTAGTAACCCTACCAGGGGTTTCAATTGAGTTGGCAATTTTTTCAGTACTTCATGGCTGATACAAAAAGCGAAAATACCAAACTATATTGGAAAATTGCCAATACAATGGCTACGATTTTACGGCGACGATGTGAGCGAACAAAAAGCAAGCAAGAATCTTGCAGATTGGGAAAGGAAAAGGTAATTTAGATTTGCATTTCAATCATTTTAATTTTCACATCCATGAATTTGTGATCGTGTTCAGATTGTTACCAAGTTCATCAATGATATAAGCAACTGTGAAAAAGACAAATGCTGGTTGAAAGCTTTACGAGTGCTTCGAAATCTTCCTATAAACGCGTAAGTTGTTTTCAAATACAATCTCCTTCTTATGAAATTTTTAGCTTTAGAAAAGACCATTTTTACAACGCAGTGATTAAAATGTCATTATCGTTTTCAACTGTTTTTTGAACTTTTTTGAACCTCTTATGCTACAAAAATTTGCATGTGCCTAAAGTTCAAAAATTTCGTTCTTTTATGAAAATACGGTATAGTTGACAAAATAGCAGAATGCTGGAAGCTCCAAATGCTTCTTCTTATGGCAACGTCTCCAAAAAACTTTTACATGAAAATTGATAGATCTTTGCTGGATTCCTGTCAATCGGGAATTTTTATGCGCTTCAGTTTGTGCGTCAGTTTGTTATGTTGTCTAATAACGCCTGGCACAAGTTTGAGATTCTGAAAATATTCAGAAAACGTTTCTCTACATATTATGCGATTTTGCAGTGATTTTGGCTTTTTTTTATGGAGTTGAGGAAATGGGAAAAACAAGCTCGTACAGATATTGCAAACCGATCTGTAAAGACATTCAGTCCGTGCGATTTTTGATCATCACAGTAGGTCAAGAAGGACAATATCCTGATTTCGAAGTTTTTAATGTCATTTTTCTAATTTCAGAATTTCACTAGCTCGAAAATCAATTTGTAGTACTGGACATAATACAATTATTTTCGTTAGAACACTACTAATGTCGAATAGAGAGAGATTATTAAACAGGCAAAAATGGGGTTCTTGAAAATTTTGCAAGATTCATGGGACTGCTTGATTTTTATAACTACTATGAGAATTTTGCTTACTAGATTACAACTCTGACATTCAGATCCTATGATTTGGCACAAAAATTACTTTGCTCTGACCACAGCCGAGAAGTACAAGTAGCAGCCCTTCATGTAATCAAGGCAGCGGATCCAACCTTCTACGATATGAAGGTAATTATAGCAAAGGCTTTATTTGCCAAAATTTATTAATTTCGCCGAATTCTAGCTGATAAACACGCTAATAAGGCTGTTCCGTAACACTTGCCCTCAACCAACGAGCACCGGCGAATCACAGTTGGCCGTGGATATTTTAATGAAGTGAGGAAATTTGTCATTTTGCTATATTGCTGAAAATAACTTTTCAATTATTCCAGCTGTGTACCGGAGCATCAACATGTTGCCACATTATTGCTACGCACAGAAACGACACATCCAGAGGACCATGAAAAATGGAAATATTTTTATAAAGCAGTGGAAAGCAGTTCATTACAGGATGAGTTGGTTAGTGAAAGTTGAAACATAGAGGGCTGTGGAGAAATCCTTCCAAATTTCTAATATTTCGAATTACTCGTTCAAAAGACTGATGATCATACCCTATAATAAAGCGCAGGGGGGACCATCCGACGTCAACAACCGGCGAAGGATGTTTGCCCAGATCTCTGAGTTAATTCTTGCACTTTCGCCCGCTTCCATACTGTTTACCGTTACGACTCAACCTAAGTGCAACCTATGGAGTCATCATACCCTATAATAAAGCGCAGGGGGGACCATCGCACGTCAACAACCAGCAAGGATGTTTGCCCAGATCTTTGTCTTAACTTTTGCACTTCTGCTCGCTTCCATATTGTTTACCGTTACGATTCGACCCAGTCGCGTAAGTGCAACCTAATGACGTCATCGTATTTTGCGCTAACTTGGCTTTCTCGATAATGTTTACTGTGAAATCAAGCTTTTGAACACAACACCATAAAACTCCTCCTCACTCGACACGTCAGTTCATATGCAAGCGTAATTGTAAGGTCTGATGCTTTTCGAAAGTCCTTTCATTTTATTCATTTGACATCTCAAGACTGTGTGAACTTTCCAAATTGTTAACCTGTAAGTGATAAGAAACATGGTGATGCGAATTGTCTTGAAACTACGCTGGATGAAAAAAGCTCACTTAGCAACTGAATCGTACGTTCGGAAGGCTGCATCTTAGAATTTCCGATTTTTCTCTAAAGACCGAAAATTTCAGAAATACTATGAAAAACGTCACTGCGTTCGTAATAGAATTTTGAGCTACATGCTGTCTGTTTGCTGCCAGTGTAAAAAAGATGAAAAGAAAGGGCTTTACTAACCATCAACTCAACCCTTGCTAACCTCAGGAACACGTAGTTTTTGGCGCATTGTCAAAACATTGCACAGCCCCAGAATCATATAAACACTGAAGATTTGTTTGGATGAATAGCTGAATCTGGAGTTGAACTTTAATAATAGCTCTCTTTTTAGAATTCAAGTCAGTAGCCTATCAAGATGAGTTGGAAATTGGGATGGTCTGTGGAGCTGGGTGGAAAAGCATAGATGTTGAACAATTTGGATAGCCCATATAGAACGCTAACGGGATTTGACATTAAGATTCTTGAATTGGAAAGAATTTGTCACGCTTCCAACAAAGCATATTTTGTGAAGAGGAAGGGATGCTCTTTGATCTGAAAAATTCTATATCATAAGTTAGAATGTTGGTTAGAGTCGCAGCGGTGTTCGACAGTGTTCCCGACCCTTTCATGACCGGGAACGTCGCTTATCTCGCCCAGGTTTTCATACGAGCCCAAGAGATTTAAAAGCAGTGTCCGGGCAAAAAGTCGATTTTGAGATTTTGTGCTTACCCGGGCCTATTCACTATGCTGAATCCGAAAATCCACATTGGAAAGCGCGAAAATGGCGAAAAAGGGCTTTAACGCGGGAGGGAAATCAGAAGTGGGCGGGGTCTTCCCCACTGTGAGTTTCGCGGTCCCAGCTTCTGGAGCGATCTTCTCAATTCCGCTAGCACTCTAAGATCTCCACAGGCCAGGTGCAAATGCATGGCTTGAAATTGGAATCAAGAAGATCGCTCCGGAAGCTTGGAGCGTGAATCCACATTGGGGAAGACCTCGCCCACTTGCTAATTTCCGTCCAGCGTTAGGGCCCTTTTTCGCCGTTTTCGCGCTTTCCGGTGAGGATTTTCGGATTCAGCATGGCGAATAGGCCCAGATAAGCACAAAATCTCAAAATCGAGTTTTTGCCCGGACACTGCCTTTAATGGACAATGAAGTGTTGTGAAGTGTTGGGGTAGTTCGCAGGACAGTCGATGAGGAGGGGAGGGCCCCGGCTGAAAACAGTCAATAGATTGTGCATAGCTGGGAAAAGGTTGCCGAGCCCAACCTAACCACCATTAGCAAACCGCAGACATGACGCGGAATCTTGAGGGCGCAACGCATCATGTCAATTTTGGCCTGATTCGGGGGACAGACTGTAAAGGTGTAAGTTCGCATTTTCTCAACGACATCTCTGAAGCAAGACTTGAAACGACTAAGTAAGATCCGAAGGATGTGAGAGTGGGAGAAAAGAATGGTAGTTTGGAAAGTTTCATAAGGGAAGCTTTTGGGTGAAAAGGAATTGAGGGAAAGTGGGATGCATTTTGTCGAAGAACTCTCACCTCATACCCTATAATAAAGCGCAGGGGGGACCATCGCACGTCAACAACCAGCAAGGATGTTTGCCCAGATCTTTGTCTTAACTTTTGCACTTCTGCTCGCTTCCATATTGTTTACCGTTACGATTCGACCCAGTCGCGTAAGTGCAACCTAATGACGTCATCGTATTTTGCGCTAACTTGGCTTTCTCGATAATGTTTACTGTGAAATCAAGCTTTTGAACACAACACCATAAAACTCCTCCTCACTCGACACGTCAGTTCATATGCAAGCGTAATTGTAAGGTCTGATGCTTTTCGAAAGTCCTTTCATTTTATTCATTTGACATCTCAAGACTGTGTGAACTTTCCAAATTGTTAACCTGTAAGTGATAAGAAACATGGTGATGCGAATTGTCTTGAAACTACGCTGGATGAAAAAAGCTCACTTAGCAACTGAATCGTACGTTCGGAAGGCTGCATCTTAGAATTTCCGATTTTTCTCTAAAGACCGAAAATTTCAGAAATACTATGAAAAACGTCACTGCGTTCGTAATAGAATTTTGAGCTACATGCTGTCTGTTTGCTGCCAGTGTAAAAAAGATGAAAAGAAAGGGCTTTACTAACCATCAACTCAACCCTTGCTAACCTCAGGAACACGTAGTTTTTGGCGCATTGTCAAAACATTGCACAGCCCCAGAATCATATAAACACTGAAGATTTGTTTGGATGAATAGCTGAATCTGGAGTTGAACTTTAATAATAGCTCTCTTTTTAGAATTCAAGTCAGTAGCCTATCAAGATGAGTTGGAAATTGGGATGGTCTGTGGAGCTGGGTGGAAAAGCATAGATGTTGAACAATTTGGATAGCCCATATAGAACGCTAACGGGATTTGACATTAAGATTCTTGAATTGGAAAGAATTTGTCACGCTTCCAACAAAGCATATTTTGTGAAGAGGAAGGGATGCTCTTTGATCTGAAAAATTCTATATCATAAGTTAGAATGTTGGTTAGAGTCGCAGCGGTGTTCGACAGTGTTCCCGACCCTTTCATGACCGGGAACGTCGCTTATCTCGCCCAGGTTTTCATACGAGCCCAAGAGATTTAAAAGCAGTGTCCGGGCAAAAAGTCGATTTTGAGATTTTGTGCTTACCCGGGCCTATTCACTATGCTGAATCCGAAAATCCACATTGGAAAGCGCGAAAATGGCGAAAAAGGGCTTTAACGCGGGAGGGAAATCAGAAGTGGGCGGGGTCTTCCCCACTGTGAGTTTCGCGGTCCCAGCTTCTGGAGCGATCTTCTCAATTCCGCTAGCACTCTAAGATCTCCACAGGCCAGGTGCAAATGCATGGCTTGAAATTGGAATCAAGAAGATCGCTCCGGAAGCTTGGAGCGTGAATCCACATTGGGGAAGACCTCGCCCACTTGCTAATTTCCGTCCAGCGTTAGGGCCCTTTTTCGCCGTTTTCGCGCTTTCCGGTGAGGATTTTCGGATTCAGCATGGCGAATAGGCCCAGATAAGCACAAAATCTCAAAATCGAGTTTTTGCCCGGACACTGCCTTTAATGGACAATGAAGTGTTGTGAAGTGTTGGGGTAGTTCGCAGGACAGTCGATGAGGAGGGGAGGGCCCCGGCTGAAAACAGTCAATAGATTGTGCATAGCTGGGAAAAGGTTGCCGAGCCCAACCTAACCACCATTAGCAAACCGCAGACATGACGCGGAATCTTGAGGGCGCAACGCATCATGTCAATTTTGGCCTGATTCGGGGGACAGACTGTAAAGGTGTAAGTTCGCATTTTCTCAACGACATCTCTGAAGCAAGACTTGAAACGACTAAGTAAGATCCGAAGGATGTGAGAGTGGGAGAAAAGAATGGTAGTTTGGAAAGTTTCATAAGGGAAGCTTTTGGGTGAAAAGGAATTGAGGGAAAGTGGGATGCATTTTGTCGAAGAACTCAGGGAGGACAGCAAAGCGCAAGTTTGCAAATTACAAGAACATACATACCTGGGAAGCTGGGAAAAAACGGTAAAAAATCTATTGGCACTTTTGTTAGTACTTATGAAACCACATAAAGCAGGAAATTTCTGACACTTATCTTTGTTGATCTCTGGGTTCGTTGAGTGTCTGCGCAAGAAAAGGTTTCCAGTTCTAACTTTGAAGTCACATCCCACTTCACACACACAGCCAGTCCGAAGCGCCGCGAAGCGGCGCTTTGGACTGGTATAGAATGTAGGGATGAGTGAAAAATGTGAATTATTGGAATAAAACAAGAAACTTGAGGGTAATTCATAAGTGGTTTTTGGCAGAGACATTCCTTTTCTTAAATTATGAACCACAAAATTTTTAAAAATGATCTATATGATTTATGACTGTGCAGAACTTTTCACTTTAAGAAAATTACTTCCGAAAGATTATAAAAAATGTATGACTTTATTTCACCTGCAAAAAAGTTATTTGTGAAATTTCATAAAACAAGAAATGAGTCAAACCCAGTTCATAAATAATAGATCATTATTTATGAACTGGGTTTGACAGGGATTTCCTTTCCTTGACTTATGAACCACAAAATTCTTAAATTAACCTGCATGGTTTTCTGAAATGACTGTGCAAGACGTTTACACTTGTAGAAAAATTATTTTTCTATTCCGTAAAAATCCGAAGAATTTTGAAAAGTTCGGTAGAACGCCGCCAGTCCCTTCAAATTCCGAGGTCATAACTCCGCTAAAAAATCAAGGAAATATCCATATTAGGGTTGCCACTACACAAAAAACATCTTAGGAGTAGTGATTCAAATTTGAAATAAGGTATCTTTAGAAAGAAGAATTCTGGCATCGCATGCGGAAATTCAAGGTTTTCCGACCCAACTATGCTCAACGAGCTCTTACCGCTCACTCATTCAGGGACTGGCGAGAAATTGCAGGTATTCTTTGCTTTCCCCTCTCACCTCCCGAGGGGATCTTGGGTCTATTATCCTTGGATTTCTTTACAGAACTCGGAGGTTATACGCTCTACACCACTTCTGCCTCTGAGTCGAGATCTGGAGCCTTTGCGCGGTCAGATGTTGACCTTCGTTTGAAACACAGGAAAGAGGACCATAGCCTCTTTGGTGTTAGTTTTGACTCACAGGCGTTAGAGTCAATGCTTGGGGAGCAGAGTCAGCAGAGTAGCCCAGCCGAACCGGAAGCAAATGTCCGAATATCGGTATTCGACCATGCACTGCCAGTCAACACTATCTTCAAGGTGGAAAATTTTTCAAACGATTTCAGAGTTAAAAACCAAAAAAATTTGGTTTCAGGGTTCTACTGAAATGCTGGGAGCCGCATGGAATGCTGATGGTCACACAGTCAAAATCCTGGAGGTACGAAACATAACCACGTCAATTCAGGTCAAATTCTATAATAGAAACGATTTGTAATAAATTTTTACTCATTATACTCCATTTATTCAGACATTTTCGCTTTTCCTCTAAAGATCTGCCATCTTATAGTAACCTTTGATTCAACTTATTCGGCTTCGGGAAGGCGGGGTTTGTGACGTAATTAAGGCCGCTCGCGCCCGCTACGCACCTGCGTCTCTCTCGCGCGAGTGCTCTCTGATTACTAGCTAGCCTTAATTAGGTCACGGAGCCCCGCCTTCCCGAAGCCAAGCCAGTTGAATCAAATGTTACTTTCAAGGGAAACGTCATGCTTCGAGACACACGCACTGCTTTGCCACTGCTTTCTGGTCTTACTGTAGAAATAGCATCCGTTGGTGCCATTTCCTTGAAACTGCTGTCTGCATCGTCACTTTCCTTGTGGAATCAAATGTCAACTTCAGATTTTAAGGCTAAGTCAGTTTTTACTGCATTGGGTTTATATGATACATGACTGAGAAAGTTAACTTCAAGCTCTCGCCCAAACCGTACTCTCCTCGCAGTCAGTGTTTCGAGTACTGTACTGGGCGAGAGTTTGAATCTCATTTTCTCGGCCACTAATGAGTCATATGAGCTGCCGTTTTGGCAGTGGCTCGTTCAGCGTCGCTAAATAAAATTTTGTGAGAAGTTCATATTAGGTATACCCGAAAACTGCAACAAAGTAATTTTCCAGTATATCGGCCAGCATGGACACCAGCGCCACTCTGCTGCATCACGGAAATGTCGTTCATACTCTCAGTTCCTCTATGTCAGCAGTTGGCACAGTTGGAGGAGATGTCAAAATTGCGTTTAGTGCCATTCCTATTGAAATGTGTATGCGGATGCAAAGGGACGAGGTTCATGAAAGGTAATCTTTTCCGAGGGTTTAAAAACTTGAGAAAAATCCTCTTTTCAGTTTCGAAGCGATCGAGGAAACTCCACAGAAACCGCGAAAGAAGAAAACGATTACCCGTAGTCGCAGGTACCCTGGAGTGACCTTTAGGTTGAACAAGGATCTTACGACACAATGCAACTCTCTAACGGACAATACACCTCCTTAGCATTTATCCTATAATTACCTAGTTGTTCATTGTTTTCGATATGTTGTTGCGTATGGGTACATTAAGTAAATATTTGTCTTACAAACTTGCGCTTGCTGAGGTCGCATGTCAGGGTGACCATTGAGTATAAGCTTTTTGCTGCTTCTAAAAGGCTGGCACTGCAAGCTAAAAATGTCTAAATGTCGATGAATATAATACAATTGTCGGAGTTCAGTTGTCAGTATAATACAGTTGTCATTCATAAGGGGGACGGAACTTAGGAACCCGAACCTAATGGGGGACGGAACTTAGGAACCAGCCTAATTAGCTCGATTCGGGGAGTGCCTGCAGGTTACAGTCATGCTCGCTGGCTCCGATTCTCACTAGAAAATAGCAACAATCTAAGCCCCGCCCCCTTGAGAGCCTGTTTGGAACCTAGCCAAGGAATGCTGAAAATTTCAATTGAATTTCAGGGCTGGCTCTAAGCCAAAAACCTTCAAAGTGATCGTACGAAGATGAAATTAGGCTCTAACGAAAGAGAAAAACCGTGCCATTATCATAAAGCAGCTACTGAATTGAACTGGTTGAACACAACATTTTCTTGGTTCAAAACTTTATTCAAGTGTTAAATTACTGAGAAATTATTCAAAATACAAAATCAGCTGAGGCTCCCAATTTAGTGCAGGAACAGAATTGGGGTCTGCCGATGGATAAAATTGTTGCAGCAGATGCTGCATGTGGGAATAAAAATAATTGTCGTAAGACATGGGAAGTTGAGATATCGATAGTAACGATAAATGGTTTTCACCCTAAAGGGCTTCTATTTATAAGGGAAATTTCGCCTCAAACTGTTATTGCAACCTTTCCTTGCGTAGGTTGTGGTCATTGCTTCCAGCATATTAGCAGGATGTTCTTCGCACATCAGAATCGTCTGTCGTTGACAGACTCAGCAATATCATTAGTGAAGTCCTTGATTTTTCATTTCTTGATATTCTAGTCTTTTGCCCAGACTTCCGCACACAAACAAACTTTTATTTTTGAGAATTTTATAAAATGTCGTTTCGCAATTGATTTTCTAGTCTTTCGCCTAAATTTCAGCATTTCAGCAAATAACTATCAATCTTGAGAAGTTTTCAAACTGTCATTTCTCTAATGTTATTCTAGTTTTTTGCTAGGATTTAGCACTCAATTTTTTTGAAAAACTTGACGGTTTTCTGAATAATTTCTCTCAGTAATTTAACACTTGAATATAGTTTTGAACCAAGAAAATGTTGTGTTCAATCGGTTTGAATCAGTAGCTGCTTTATGATGATGGCACGGTTTTTCTCTTTCGTTTGAGCCTAATTTCACCTTCGTACGATCACTTTGAAGGTTTTTGGCTTAGAGCCAGCCCTGAAATTCAATTGAGATTCTCAGCATTCATTGGCTAGGTTCCAAACAGCTCTCAAGGGGGCGGGGCTTAGATTGTTGCTATGTCCTAGTGAGTAATCGGAGCCAGCGAGCATGACTGTAACCTGCAGGCACTCCTCGAATCGAGCTAATTAGGCTCGGGTTCCTAAGTTCCGTCCTCTATTAGGTTCGGGTTCCTAAGTTCCCGCACCCCATTCATAATGATTTGGGAGTTCGGGAACTGTTTCAGCGCAGCACTCAAAGTAAACGACTCCTTCCGGCTCAGCATGAACGCAGCCTTGGGTCACCTTGGAGCTTAAAGGCAGCGTCCAGGCAGATCTGGACCTATGGGGCTTTTACGTGGAAAGTACTTTTGGGGCCCTAACTAAGGCACTGCCCAAGTGGCAGCTCAGGTGGTGCTCTAATGGCTAAGATATTCCCCTCGAAACTGCCCCCCGCGAACGTATTCGCATGGATTCATGGCAGTTTCGCGCCAGGATCCACGCTTTGCACCATGAATCCATGCGAAACACGGTCGCGGGGGCCAGTTTCGAGGGCAATATCTCAGCCATGAGAGCATTACCTGAGCTGCCACTTGGGCAGTGCCTTAGTTAGGGCCCCAAAAGTACTTTTCACGTAAAAGCCCCATAGGTCCAGATCTGCCTGGACGCTGCCTTTAAGGGAAGTAGACGCTCGTAAGTTTACCTTACAATTAAAACCTCGACTGAGATCTTCCTAATATTACCTAATGAGCTTCACGTCTGAGTGCCTTATTAGTTCAAATACATCTACCTAAGCTTCTCATCTCCAACGCTCTGTCCTTGCTTGCCGCCAGTATGCAGTTCCATCTCATACATCATACCTGTATCCTTGTTGTTGCTGTCTTGTTGACGTAGGCTAGTTATTCTATAGTTGCTCAGCTTCCTTTTCGCGGTGTGATTTCGCGATATTGGATCCGTCCAGTTTATGTAAGCGTGCTATTAGTTTACCTTTTGAGTATGGTTCTGCTTCAATCTTTTCTCCGCTATTGGTTTATCTTGTAATCTCTGTAATGTGTAGGAGTCGAACTGCCAATAAGAAAAAAGCGTAGAAGATGGAAAGCGTAAACGGGTGCACCAAAGTAGTAAGAACCTGACGACTTTACGCTTCCATGAACAATAGCGGCCAGCGGCGGCTGTTACGGGCTGCTGGCGGCTGTTACGGGCTGCTACGGGCTGCTACGGGCTGCTAGCGGCGGCTGCCGGCGCGGTATGAAGGCACTAGACTGAGCTTCGATTAGCTTCGATTAGTCAGCTGTTAGCAGGAAGATAAACACTATCTTTTTGATCACGCTAAAAATTAAGATTGTAGAGCCTTCTCTGAGTAACTAGTTGAGGTTACTAATTTGCAGGTACATATATACGGTCAAGCTGCATAAGGCAAGATTACACAATCTGACCTCGGGGGAGGATGGGGTTGCATGGTTGTCCGGGTCTATTGGGGCCAATGACCTAGTTTCCTACAACAAATTTCGGCGGCGGCCCAGGAGTTCCCAAAGCCTCGCCGCCTTTCCTTGCAGGGGTAGTTAGCACCTCCAAGGGGCCTTCGCACCTTTTAGACGGCTCCGCCCACTTGCTCCACCCACTAACTAATCGTATTCCGAGTTGTGCAGACTTGAAGAATAGTCCTAATGTGTTCTGTCAAATGGATGAATAATGACGGATAGAAGGTGACAGATGAGAAGTTATGAAATTTACTTGTGGGCATCGCTTTGTCGGAAGCAAAGATACTTCCGTTTTCTCGATTCTCAGCCAGAGAATGTGTATATAGGTACCTCTGATGTGAAAACAAATCCATTGAGCAAGTTGCACAAGTGCAGGTTTGATGGAGCTTCTAATTTTTTCGGATTTTTTGTACAGTTAAATTTTTCTAGTTTTTTGGCTACAAATTCGCATAGATCAAATTTGATGCAACTTTTCAAAACATTAGTTTGTAGAGCTTGCTGTGCTTTATCGAATCAAAACCATAGAATTTATCCAGAATAAGCGAAATTCGACTTATTGCGGTATGAAACAGTTTTGAAACTAGATCTTGATTTATTAACCGAATAATTTGAGCTTCTCATCATTCTCAACAACTTTTTCAAAAAATTTGAATGCATATTTAAAACTGAAATTTCCCCTTTTTTAGAATTCATGTTCTGGTGCTTTTCATGATAACGGATGATAAGAAAGACCTTTTTCTGTAAAGATTTGTCGATACATTGCAATTAATTTTAGCTAAATATCCACTGAAATTTTGTAAATTTTCTGTTGGCATGCCAAAACGATTCTGACCTACTGATAGGTCAATGCAGAAGTTTTCGCCTAAATCAAAAAAATTCAATCACTTACTAAGATTTGAACCTAAGTTCATGGCTTCTCCAGGAAAAGAAGTGAGTTTTGCGCTTCAAGGTAGTTATCCCAATTCATCTTCTTGTTGGCACCTCAGAGGAACAAGTTTTCAAAGACTGCACTGCAAATTTCGTATGGAGTCTGGTTGTAAATAGTGCCAAAGTGGTAGTATCAAAATGGCAATAGTTATCCTCAAGAAATCTTCCAAACGATCAAAGAGATGCTCCGTACGTTTGGCAAGCTTAATCTATAGTAATGCAGAAACAAAAACTGTGAAAAATCCTTCGCAGTGAAAATCAACTTATCAACGCATTTTTATCACAAGACACAGTTTTGAAAGAAAAAATATACTCACTGCTTACCTACAGTACTGTAAGATTTTTTTGGGGTTTCAAAGTGTCTTTGCTTTCAAAGTGCAATAATTAGGAGATTTGCCTCGCAAGATGACGATTTTTCATGAATTTTCGTTGCTTGCCTATGCTATTCCCTCAGCCCGCAGTCTTCGAATGACAGTGAAGTGGAGCGGGGGCGGGGTCTGACCTCTGTTGCGCGAAGGAGCGAGGAGCCTTCTGGAGTGTGAATGCTGGTGCGAATGGAGGTGCTAGGAACTCCTGCGTCCCTTCCACAAATTTCGCTCTCCCAACAAAACCTTGCGTAACGTAGTCTGAGTGTTTGGTTAATCGCTATCAGTTTGGTGATTAGACTTCAGTTTTAGCACTTTGTTCACTTGGCTGCAAAGGCCTTGAAATTTGTAGGAGATTGTATGCTATCCATTTCAGGCTCCGAATGAGGAGATCTGCCACAATGTCAGTAAGAAATAATCAACAATCACAAAACAGCAAATATGGTAAGGTTGTTTTTCCTGCTCAAATGCACTTTTTAATCCAAGCCCAGTATATGCATTTTACATTCCTGCAATCTAAACTACCTCTGAATTCATAATCAACCCAGAAAATGATACTACCATGTTGCTCAGCGAAGATCGAAAATATCATGCTTATCTTATTTTGGACAGATTTGCAAACATAAATCTGGGTGCACGAGGCATAAGTTAAGCTTTGGTGATTCATTCATTTCAATCGACTTTGTAGGGCAGTTGCCATAGGTCTTCACTGTATTCCAGCATATTTGGTGCGTTATTAAGCTCACTGTTCGAACTTGCTGCTGATCATCCTCGCAAGGATCTCGTCAGTGTGAACATTAGAGACTAGAACGCGCGATACCTTGCGTGCAGTGTCCGGGCAAAAATTCGATTCTGAGATTTTGTGCTTACCCGGTCCTAATCACTATGCTAAATCCGAAAATCCACATTAGAAAGCGCGAAAGCGGCGAAAAAAGAACTCTAAAGCAGGAGGGAAATCAGAAGTGGGCGGGGTCTTCCCCACTGCGGTTCACGCTCCAAACTTCCGGAGCGATCTTCTCGGTCCCGATTCTAAGTCATGCATTTGCACCTGGTCTGTGGAGCTCTCAGGGGGCTAGCAAAATTTAAAAAAATCGCTTCAGAATCCGGGACCGCGAAATTCACAGTGGGGAAGACCCCGCTCACTTCTGATTTCCCTCCTGCGTCAGAGTTCGTTTTCGCCGTGTCCGCGCTTTCCAATGTGGATTTTCGAAATCAGCATGGCGAATAGGCCCGGGTAAGCACAAAATCTCAAAATCGACTTTTTGCCCGGACACTGCCTTTAACTAAGCCTTTTGTTTTTCGAACTTTTTAACCGCACACGGAGTTGGCGCCCCAAAACCGCCTTCTAAATGTTATAAAATTCTGTCTGTTATAAACCACAGTCCTGACGCTTGCACCTAAAAGTCTGTCACGTTGAGCTTCCCACCCTGGCAAATGCGGGATACTTGTGAGCTACAAGCGAATCTACGCCTACCTCGACAGGCGAACAAAGGCCGACAAGGTTTCTCCTTTGGGTTGGTTGAAGACATTGGAAATAATGAAAAGTCAAGATCTTCAATCTTTGCTAGGACGAAATCTTCGACCTCACTACAAGCTGCCAAAAACGGGGAACAGGCAATGACGGTGGTTTTAATTTGCGTGCACCAACTTCCGTCAAATCATAAAAAACTATGACGCAGCAAGGACGATGGAGTAGCGCGTTTGACCGAAGGCACCACCTGCCAAATGCTATGCTCAATACTTTCGCCGAAAGCTGATATTCTTTCAAGGATTGATAAAAGAGTAACTAGCAAACCGTCGCAAGGTATAAACAGTCTCAAAATCGCAATCTTCATTGCGTGTGCATGAAGTATCGTGAGGATACAGTATGCTGCTCTGTTTCACATGTATCGACTCAGCAGCGCGAGTGGATGAAATTGCCATTATTAGGCTTTGGCCATACTTCGCCCGTGTTGCCGATGTTTCCAGTGTTGCCAGTGTTGAAAGTGTTGTCGGTGTTGAAAGTGTTGAAAGTGTTACCGGTGTTGAAAGTGTTGCCAGTGTTGAAAGTGTTGAAAGTGTTGAATGGAGATCATCAGTCTAGCAGTTTCATTCTTTTTCGAACGATCTTACCGGCTGGTGAATACGTTGGAAATGGAATTGGGGAATGAGAAATGAAACTGAAATGAGATGGGGAATGTTTTCGCATGCAAAAGATCCTCAAACAAACTTTTTGGAAAGTGGACGGCTTGTCTGGAATAGGCAATCTCTAATATTTGAAAACGCTGCAGACCTCACTTAGGTCCTTTACTCACTAATCGCAAGCAATGCAGGATTCGAACTAAAACACATTACTACTCAGACGTCAGCTTTCTCAAATATTGGAGATTGCCTATTCCAGACAAACCGTCCACTTTTCAAAAAGTTTGTTTGAGGATCTTTTGCATGCGAAAACATTCCCCATCTCATTTCAGTTTCATTTCTCATTCCCCAATTCCATTTCCAACGTACTCACCAGCCGGTGAGATCGTTCGAGAAAGAATGAAACTGCTAGACTGATGATCTCCGTTCAACACTTTCAACACTGGCAACACTTTCAACACTGGCAACACTTTCAACACCGGTAACACTTTCAACACTTTCAACACTTTCAACACCGGCAACACTTTCAACACTGGCAACACTGGAAACATCGGCAACACGGGCAAAGTATGGCCAAAGCCTTACTTCAAACAACCAGGCCATCCTCCTATACAACAAGACATCATGAAGAACACAACGGCTTCGTAACCTGAATTGCACTTTCCAATTAAAACATATCAGAGCAGAGGCGCGATATATCTATCATAGCAGTCATGCATTCAAAATGAGACGAAATAGGAATGGAAATTTGGCAATGACTAGTTGGCTTCCCCGGTTCTGCCCGGGCTAATGTTCACAGAAGATGAGGTAGATGGTGCGGTTGCCAGCAAAACTTCTGCACTGCGAGCCCTCCCCCGCCCTTTCTTCATGTTATGGATGACTTACCCTGCAGCGCTCACTTCGGTTCCTCGTGATTCTGAGGTGGAAATGAGCTTCACCGCTCTCCTTTACATGACAATGGGAAAATGCTTGGTTCAACATGACAAGCCTTGATCTCCTTAGAAAAACGCAAACAAATCAATAAATCGATAGAAAGGCTCAACAAATCGCCCTAAAATGTAGCCTATCATTTGCGCAGGGGTCGAAAATATGTGTGCAAAGTTTCAGCTTAATTGGTTGAGCGGCGCTCGTTTCTATAACGCACATACCCTCCAAACTGACAATTTCGAGTTTTATTGATACTAGTTGGCTCTCCCGGTCCACCCCGGGCCATGATTCATCGCGCTGCGAGCCCCCCTTCCCCCCCCCCGCCCTATATGGTATGGATGACTTCCCTGGGACTTCCGCTTGGAAACCGCATGCTCGTGATCCTGAGGTGAAAATGAGCTTCACCGCCCTCCTTTACATGAGTATGGAAAATGCTTGATTGAACATGATAACCCTTCAATTCCTTAGGAAAATGTAAACAAATCAATAAATCGATAGAAGGACCCAACGAATCGCCGCAAAAAACAGCCTATCATCTGCGCAAGGGTCGAAAACGTATGTGTGCAAAGTTTCAGCTGAATCGGTTGAGTGGCACGCGTTTCTATAACGCACATACCCTCCAAACTGACAATTTTTGAGTTTTGTATATACATTAGGTTGTCCCGAAAGTTTTGTCGGTTTCTTACGTCGATCACTGAAACTCACAGAACATCAATCCACGGGCAAGCTAGATACCATTTGATTCAGATTTTTATCCTCTTTCATACAGCTATATTTTCTCTCTGATCTATCTTGTCTTTGCTATGTTATCGCCATGGCTTTTCGAGCAGCTTAGCAGTAATGCCAAATCTTACATGAATTTTGAAAATTTTTATCCTGATGATTTCAAAGAGCGCTGATAATTTTTATGAAGAGCAAACCTTTGGCTACATTCTGTTTATTTTATATTGCATGGGCCACGTTTACTAAGTCCGTTATAATTAAATTTAATAAAAACAGCGACTTTTTGATTACGTTCACCACGTAAAAGTACCGAAAATTCCAAAAAAGCTGCTTTCTCGAGGCAAATCAAACTTGGTCATGTTGCATAAATAATGTTTAATAAGAATCATTTTTTAATTCGCAGAAATTTTGAAGACTTCCGTGTATTTGCTGCAGTTGAGTGTTTCATGACTTTGCCAAAAATCGAAACCTCTTAAGAAATAATTTTTTTCAAGCTAACAACAGCAGATTTGGAGAATATAAAAACATATTCTTGTAGTCCAAGAATTGCTCTATTAGAATCATACTTAAACATTTTAAAAACATTAGAATGAAACTTTTGAAAATTAGCCGAACTTTGAGCAGATGAAATTGACGGATGGAGAATTTCAGCAAATATCGAAAAAGGCATACAAGAATTGTGGCTTGAGAATGTATCTATAAGAAAGAGAAGAAAAAGCTGCACCGAGTGCATGTTGAAACTCATTCAGTTGTTTATTGTGCGTGGTTTTATAGTGGTTTGAAGAAACTGACAAAACCTTCGGGACGACCTAATATATAGATACCAGTGCGTCACCTCTGCTTCGCAGCGGCTCACACTGGCCCTACTTTATCTATGCCTTACTCATTCCCGCATAATAATTACATTGACACTCACCGCGCTGTGTAGGCTATTACGAATGATTCGTAAACAGCTACTCATTCCTAGAGGTTTTTCGCGTGAGATTGGTATTTTCGCGTGGATGAAATCTTTTCCAGAAGAACAGATGCAAATTTGAATAGGTTTCTGGAACTATTATGGCTTCGTAATCGCCATAAGAACAACAAGCATCGTTGGCTACGTCTCTGTGCAAAAATCTTCTCATATGATCAGGTAAAAGCTTGAAAAATTGACCGTTCACACAGCTATTGCTTTTTGGCGCTGTTTTCGTAAATCAATGGACTTTTCATCACTTTTTTAGGCTAAAGTTCATGGCTTGCACACTAACTTGTCGAATATATCCATAACTCTGCAAAAAGTAGTACTACGAACCTAAATTTGCTGTCCAGAAGCCAAGTGGATCCGTTTGACGCGCAATTTTCAACGGATCCACTCAAGGGATCCGCTCATGCTTTAGTATAGTGAGCTTTCGTGCTGGTAGCGTGAGCTCAGGACGTTGGCTGGAACACGATCTACGAATTTCGTAACGGACAGACACACACACACAGACAAAAAGACGTAAACATCCTTAGCCGCTCATTGTAAGTCATGATAGATATCTTCTTTTTGTTGTGATATCGTTCTAAAGCAGTAAGCACTTTGCGGATGGTACGCATGTGAGATCGAAAAGGTAGAATGAATGACAATTGTTGAACTTGACCAAGATGATGTCTGGAAGAGATTTTCAAGGTTTTCGTCATGCACAACGCTACCTTTATTTTGACTGGGAAGTCAGCGATGACGTAGCTCCGATAAGGGGGGGGGGGGGGGAGAGAGAGAGCAGAATGCAAAGCTACAAGGAGGCTAAACAACGAAGAAGGCCTATTTCGTGCTCACACCTCGGACTGCCGTTAACCCCGGTTTGACGTACTTCTAAAAAATATGGATCATGAAAACGCGGTCATCAGACGTTCTGCTGAAAGAGTGAAGCAGTGAATGAATTCAACAAGCTGAAGTGCGTAGTACAAAGTTCTCGAATTTTGATCAAAATTCATGATCCTCACTCCACAGCGTGGACAAGGCGACTTGCCCAGAGGCAAAAGCGGGAGAAAAGGACTGCTAGAAGGTTAATAACCTCGCAAATAATATAGGCGCGTTATGGTAACCCGCTCATGTTACACGACTATTAGCAGATATGCACGTGTAAGGGGCGATGATACGGATTGACTAAAAAATCCCGGTTGCCTGCTCAAAACATTACCGAACATGCTTTCAAGTCTTGCCTGCGTCTGAGTTTAAGGCTGCGTTCATACTGGTTACGAAATCCGGGAACAGTTCCAGCACAACGCTCAGTTCCAGCACTGTGCTGGAACTGTTCCCGGATTTCGTAATCAGTATGAACGCAGCCTAAGAGCAGTAGACTTCAAAACTTAAATTGTTAGCGTATCTCATCTCCCAAAAAATATAAGGATAAAAAGGATGAGGGATTCGGCGTCTTCAGTAACCTCGGCGGGCATAAGGTGGAGGACTATATGTTGCCGAAAGTGGATGGTCCCATGCGGACATTGCGGCGAAGTACGCAGCCCCGCAAGTCACAGACAACGGATTTATCGGCTGTCCGCGCGGGATGGAGTCTACCGTCAACATTCAATCCCCTATCCGCGGGCATGAGCAGAGCGCACAGTACTTCAAAGTCGAAGAGGCATTTGAATGTGTGCGAACCATTAAGTGACCTGCGGGGACCAGCCGGTTTCAAATTAGGGCCGCATGCATTAACGATACGCCGGGGAGGGGATCGCAGCCAGAAGAAAGCTTTACATCCGAAGCTCCAGATAACTGGATTTTACTTGTCTACTTATCCGTAAGTACTCCCACCGTTCTTCACTATGAACATCTTGAACAGGAGCAAGAAGCTGTAGAACCCGCATTTTCCATTTTTATTCGATCTCCTGATGATCCCTGGCTGCCAATTGTCTTTTCTATAAAATCATTTTCCTTTTTTCGAAGTCAATAAAAAATTACAAAGTTGTGCTGTTCATCTAACCCAACAGTGCTAAGCATGTTTCTTAAGAACCAGTAATGTTTCAAAGTCATGAAATTTGCGATGAACCACAAGTCGAAAGTTGGGGTTTATCGAAAAAATTGATAATTATTCCAAAAGCTTATTTGTTCTTATCAACACGAACAAAAGACGTCCGACCGCGGAAGATCATCAGGGGATCAAACAAAAAGGCGGAAAATGCGGTTGTACAGCTTCTTGCTCCCGTTCTAGATGTTCATAGTAAAGGATGATGGGAGTACTTACGAATAGATAGACAGGTAAAATCCAGATATCTGGAGCTTCAGGATATGAGGCTTTCTTCTTTCTCCCTCCCCGGCGGATGTTTATGCATGCGGCCCTTAGGGCTTTTATAATCCCTGAATTATTCTGTTGCCAATTTACCTTCTCCGCAGGGTCGAGAGCTTAAAGGCAGCTTCCCACACTGTGGGGTGGGGGCACCTGGCTCCGGTGGTAATGTAGTAGTAGACCCCCTAACTAAGCGACGACAGAAGTTTGCGGCGCGAAGGGGGTTCTACGAAGTCTACAAATCGCCCCCCTCCCCCCCCCCCCCCCCCCAAGTGGCCCGGATCTTACGGTAGGCTTGGGCGAGTACGAGATGCATGCAAGGTAGAGACGCAGAGTCTTTGCGGGACCCTGCGCTCATGACTGTGTGCGCTATGCGTGCTCTGGCCTTGCAGTTCGAAATCGCTTAGTGGGCGGCGTCCGGGCCTACAGTAAGATTCGGGCCACTTTCGGAGCAAATTTCAGGTTTGGTAGACCTCCTTTTTCACTCCAAACTTCAGTCATCGCTTCGGTAGGAGGTCTACTTTGATCTCGCCACAAAAACCCGGCACCCATCTTCTTGCCGGGACGCTGCTTTTAATTGGCCCCAGGGCGGGATCGAACTGCGTCCGACCTGGTCATAAATACACCACTTGTCCCCTTAAAAGACGTACAAGAGGCATAAATTAATGAATGTATCGCATATCCACTTTCAAACTCCTTTATCCACTTCAGCAATTTTCCTCTGGCTCTCCCCTTCTTTCTAGCCTACACTTTCGCAACTGCCAAAAAGGACTTTTTCTCAAGCTAATAATATAACAGAAGTGTGTATAACCATAGTCCATTCATTCTGTGACACATCTAATCCCTAATGTTAAGGCAGATTGAGAACTTTTATCTAAGTTTGCTATTTAGATCTGTAGGATATGAGTTACTTCGCTGCACCTGCACCTCAACCTCCACCGGCAGTGCCTCCTGCTCCAACTCCTGCAGCTGCTCCAACTCCTGCAGTTACTCCGCCTCCGCCAAATTGTTCGGCGCCCATGACCCCGAACACAGCAACACCAAGTGAGTGAATTAAGTGATCTTATCAATGAATGGAATGTATACTAGTACGGATATTTTGACTCTAAACGGACTTGAATGTTGCTGAAAGACTTCTAAAATCTTATAAGTGAGAGCTTATCTCGAACATTATATGCTTCCAAAAATCGAATTCATAATTATCATATTGGATACATAGATATCTACTGAGAAAAATAAATATTCTCTTGTACTTGACAAGCTTTTTCGGATGAGTCAGACTCCCGCTTTCAGCAGCTATGCAATAAGTTTCTTTGCAGCAAAGAAAAAAGGATGGTTTGGTCGAAAAAGCAGAACGCCAGCAGCAGGGAGTCGAAGTTCTCTGAACACGGAGAAAGAGCCACTTCTGGGAGGGGAGCAACAGGTTGGTGTGATAATCATATTTCCATGTTGACTCTTTTTCTTTTCAGAAGAAGCTGACACAATTGAGAGTTATGTTAATGGTGGCGATTATTCTCTTAGTCGTGGCAGTTATATTCACCGTTGTTGTTTTGCTTCACGTCGTAGAAGTGCTTAATGTTGTGCAAAGCCTTCGACCATATGACTGTACAGACTGAAGAGGAAAGTGAATGACAGAAAGCTTTTACTTTTGTCACGGTTCTACATTACTAAAAATAAAAGTTTTATTGGTCAAAGCTAGATAACATACAATTTCGCGTGTATTCACATAAATTTTGAAATGGTCAGCAAAGTAAAAACTGTCTTGCAAAGCAAATCTCTCGTCAAGACTTACATGAGAAATAACATCAATACAGAGGATCTTCCACGAGTTCGTCTTACAATCTTTCTCGTTCTTTCCAATTGACTGCATAAACTATAGACGGCCGTGAACTGCTTCAATGCATAGTATCGCCTTGTCGTTTTCTTTTATCGATGTGGATAAAGAAATATGGTCAAGAAGCTGATCATAGTGCCGCAATCGTGATACTTTTCGTGATGCTTTTACGATGGCCGCATTTACACTTTGCTAACCTTAGAGCGGCGTTGAGCACTAGGACTGCCTCTCACATTTAGTAATGACTCACACGCAGATTGAGGGGAGTTAGTTTTCATGACTTTTTGCGTGATTCCGTTCAGTCGATAAGCATAATTCCTTTACGAAATCTCGGTTGCTTTGATGGTCGTGCATCATTCTTAGCTCTTGAGATATGCGGCATGATGATCTTACAAACATTTGAAAGAACAAGTTGGTCTTGTAGATTCTTAAAATCCTCTCTACCTTCAGTGTCTCGTTTGCTCGCTTGCCACAGAGTAGGCGGAGCAGTGCCGACGTACATGCGTGGCGGGTTTGATAGCGACTGTCTACGAAAAGCTCTAAAATGAATATTTATCGTTAGATCAATTGCCTTTACTGGTCCACCTACGCTATGGTAAGGTACACTTCATACAAAACTGAGTCTTGCTTTGTTTCGATAGCCTTTTTTCCCTTTGCACTTTGTTATGTCAGTTGGAAGGATGTGTAACTTATGACTAGATACCCCAGTAAGTCGTTATTGATAAGTCCGCCATTGGTCTCCACCCAGTCACTGAAGGCTCTCACGCTTGTTCTTAGCCCAAAAGGACAGCAAAAATTGAAGAGAATATCTATTTAAGTGATATGAGTCCCTATCGGTAAACTGCAAGCTATAAGATGAACCCTACTCAAGCAGCCTTAAAAAACTTGGCTGCTTATTCATCACCGCACTCGATGCAAAATAGGAGTTGGTGCAACCCACAACAACGGTGATGTACTTGGTAGAGTCTTCATTCGTAACCTCCCTGCTTCTCTCCAGACCGAGTGGCAAATAGGAGATGATATCTGACAATCGGACCGAGACAGTATATTGATGTGGGTGACACTTTTGTCTTCTAAAGGCGTCTTGCCAGAATTTCATCTAATATAGTTACCATCTACAACAACCAGTGACGGTAACCGCTTATTTGTTCCAGCAGCAAAGCCATTGCCCGGTTATCACAAAAGCAGCTTATCAGATGCTAAGCAATATAAATGGGATGAATGAACTAGAAACCTTATTTTCATATCCGAGTGCCCAGCGGCTGGAAGGTCACTCGCATTATAGCATTGTTACTGGTCCCTTGGAAGCATCTTCGGAATGGACGATTACTTTGGAGCACCAGCTCCAGCTCCCGGTGGTGGTGCTCAGCAGCAACCCGCACAGCCTGCGAATCCAGCGCAGCCGGCGCCAGCTCCAGCAGATCCATTTCAACCAAAGGCTCCGTAGGTTACATTGGTTGGCGAGATTTTGCATAGATTTCTCACATTTTGAAGGGCGGAACAAAGAAGGTTCGAATCTACGAATGACAAACACATTGACTACTTAGCAGATGCAGGTATGAGGCCTCTCCTCTTTTTGTGTAACACTTCCCTCGTTACAGTGCCTGTACAGCGACAATCAGCAGCTACCTCAGGCACTAGCGGCAAAAGTTCTTCGCGTTCCAGAGCTACCCAACGTCAGGCAAGTCACTAAAACAACTACAGAAGGATGAACATAAGCGTGCTTTTCAGCCAGGTACTTGCGTCCAAAAACTGTGCATAACCACATGTGTAATGGCTGCAATCGTATTCTGCTTCACTATGATTGCCTGCCTTCATGTCGCAGGAGTGGTTGCTTTCATTACGCCTTTGACGTCTGCCTGTCAAAAGCAATGAATTTTCATGATCAAAGATTTCAAGCTTCGTTCATAGTCCTACATTACGTCTTACAAGAATAAAGATTTTTGGCACGCTTGTGTAATCACTCTTGTGCCTCACTTGGGCATACTCATACCTTCGATAGTCTAGAGACAGGGCGTCAAAAGTGAAGGTTGTTTGAAAATCTGACGTTATAAGTAGTGAAGGTTGTTTAAAGAAGATCAGAGAAGAAAATATATCGTAAAACAGATATAAAAAGCGAAAGAAACTGTTGAAAACCGGATAAAAACGCTGCAAAGAGGTCCGAAATTTTTCATTTGGCGGCTTTTCGGAGTGCAAGTTTTCGCTCCAGGACCAGCAATTCGCAACACGGGGTTTTGGTTTTTGATGTGTCCTTTGAATTTTTACCCCCGCAATGACGTTCCTGTTATCTGGGACGTTGTCTGGATTGATGTGCTTATTGCTGAGCAATAATCGCACAAGCTGAAAAAAAATCGATGCGAAAGCGCTGAAATAGAGTAAGGTGAAGAAAAACGCACTTTTTGCGATTTTTCACGAAAAATTTCACCATAATCGAAGAGGTAAGGGCTGGGTGGTTGTCTGCATTATGAACAGAAGCAAGATCTATAGAATGCACGAAAAAAACGCATGAAAATATTTAAACTAGGAGGATAACAAGAGATTTTCGAAAACAAGGTTTTTGACGGATTTCTCGAAAAAATTTTTCAAATCAAAAAATGTGGTTCTGGGATGTTGTCAGCATGAAAATAGAGATTAAGAGCTTCAGAATGATATACAGCTTGCCAAAGTTGGGTTCGAAACAGCGAAGAAAAGGGTACCAGAGCCAAATGCCCCGCGCCCCGCGTTTGGGGTAGCGAGGTAGCGCGCAGCGCGCGGAAACGCCGACGAGCAGCGGAGCCAGACCAGAGCCGACGGGGCATTTGGCTCTGGTAGTAAATCTCCGCGGGGTCTGAATGAAATCCTACAACATTATATATCATTCTGATCGCCATGATACGAAGAGGAAAACTGACAACGTTCAGCTTTGAAAGTCACTCATTAACGAGATAGGCCAGCGTTTTCGTGCGCGACTCTCTGCGCAAGACTCAAGCGCAGTTTCTCGCTTTATTTAACTCCAGTAGCTTTCCTAAACTTCTGAAACTCGATTTTGTTCTAATGAGAGGATAACTGAGAAATTCTGTATTGAATTTTGGCGAAAATTCCACAGAAATCTTCTTTTCAAAGTAAAAAAGGCTATGAAAACGCAAATTCTCGGTTTCGCTGAGATAAGCCAAAGATATTATCCCCTATATTTGCTTCACTAACATTCGTTCCGATATATAATAGTTAGGATAATAACATCTGGGGCCAAGCCCCGGATGACTTCTGTTTTTTTCCAGGTGAAGGTTGTGTCCCCCCATAGCCCTCGAAGTGAAGGTTACCAGAGTACGTGGCTCTATGTATCAAAGGTGTGGGCATACTACAGTCCTTTTGAAAAGAGTACAATATTTGGATGGGATCCGTTATCCTTGAATGGAGCTTGTGTGCTACCTCTTGGGCGACGAATAAGTCTTTCTATGAGCTATCAGAACAGTTCTACGAGGCTTTATGGAATTGTCCTTTCGTGGAACTCATCAGTAGGGACGAATGGCTCCCGAAATGAATGCACGCGCTGAAAATGGATTTTGACGCTTTGAAAAGCTGATTTGTTAGGACAAATGGGAGGCAGTTCTTTGCACGGGCTGTCTCCACCGTCAATCTGAAATTCTCAACACGTCACGCGCGCAAACCTTTCCATCCCTGTGCTTTGCATGAGGCAGGAGCCGCCGCAGGGTGCTCACGCGGGGATGGTCGTATGGAAAGCTTACGGTCGAGCGAATCCTCTACACCTCTTTGAATAATGCACTTTCTTCAGGAGAAGAAAGTTAAAGAGAAGAGCCTGTTTCACACATCTTGCATAAACTGAGAAGGTAGAAATTTAGCCTCATTCAGTGTACGGCATGGGGGAACTATGCCAAGAATTTAGCACTTCTCAGATTTCAAATTGCTTGAGGTATCTGCGTCCGGGCAAAATTCCAAACAAAATTTTTTTCGCTTACCTGGGCTTAGTCTTCCTGCTGGTTGCAAAGATGCAGCTTGCAGAGTTCGAAAATGTCGAAAATGGGCTATTCCAGAAGCCATTGTTTGAATAAAGAAGCTTGCTGCCAAGGTTAAGACGCAGAGTCGTGGTGGGACCCTACGCCTTGACTGTGTGCTACATAAGAACTCTGGCTATCGATTGAGGAGGCGGGCAGGTCGCCGGGGCGTCCTGGTCGCCACTTCTGAAGCGGTTTTTCGCTTTAGAGGCAAATAAGTGCACTTCCAGCTGGGCAAGGGCTTCATCAGGACGGGAGCCCCTGTATGCTAACCATCTCATTCAACTTCTTTCAACTTTAATATCAAGGTAGATTGATTGTTTGAGATCTGTAAAATTTTTCTTCATGTCCTTCTAAAAATAGTAGCAAACATCAGCAAGTGATGAAGTAGTTTATTACAGCAAATAGATACCAGTATTCACTTTGATGAAAATGTTAGGAAGCAGAAGCAAGCTAGAAAACAAATACGTTTGCGTTATACATACATATATGAGATCAAATCAGCAATTCTGCGCCGCTTGGTAAAGTAAAAATTGGCGAAAAATTACCCGTCAGTAGAGTTCCAAAATCTCACAAATTGGCAGAAATAATGAATTGCACGTCAAATAAAAGTAATGCAAAAATACGTCAATTACAAGCTCGATATCGATAAAATGACGGTGTTCATTTATATGATCCCTTTGTATTGCGGCTGAGAACTTTGCGGAAAGCCGCCCGGAAGTCGCGGGAAAACGCGGCATATATCAGAGGATTTACCGCTGAATTAACATAACCGAGCCAGAAAGCGATCACGTATGTCGTATTTGAGATACACTCTGGTACGAGACAAATGGAGTAAGCCTAAAAATATTTGAGATAGGTTCTTCTACAATCTTTGCTAGGCAGCGTCCAGAGTTTGCCGTACGCCGGCACGGTGCCAGCGCCGTTCCAACACCGTGCCAGGACCGACTGGACCCACACAAAGATCGATTTTTCGACACGGTGCTGTCACGGCGGGATCTGGTCATAGCCCAAAAAATGAAAGAAAAATTATTTTACCTGGAGGACATAAATTGCACTGAAAGGAAGCCAGCACGTGATAAATACAGCTACAACTACGGCTGTTGTCCGAGCTACTCGAAGCTCTGTACGCAAAGAGAAGCGATGGCGACGATCACTAAAAAAATACAAAAATTGGAATTGCTAAAAAATGAAATATATAACGAAAAGTTAATGACCTACCTTGCAAGCGAAATAATATTACTTCTTTTCTTGTTGTTATTCAGTAACGAAACAACCATCGTTTGCGGGAAGAAGGTTTTTCCACTTGCGTGCACATGAGTTTCTGGAGCTGGGGGAGGTGATTTTTCTGAACATGGAAACTTAAAGCAGTGAAATTGAGATAAGAATCCCTTTTGAGCAAAAAAAAGTTCTTTCATCCAGAGATAGAATTCCAACAGAATTCCAGCTAGTTCAGTAAATCAAACGCTTACGATTTTTCTGTATTTCAACAAGAAGGAAACTTTTTATAAATTCTTAGCAGGAATTTTTCGATTTTTCGATGATTTCCTATACACTACAAAACGTCTGCGATATCCTCTACAGAATTTGGACTTACCTTGTGATAAGAGCTCAGCTTTTGACTCATTCGAATATTTTGGTTGGCGCGCGTCATTGCTCTCCACCGAATACGATTTCATATCCTGAAAGCGAAAAAATGAAGTTGGAAAATTTTCGTACTAAAACAAACTCTTTTCTGAACACTAGAAATAAAAATATCTAATCTCAAAATTAACCGGATTTTCAAGTAAAAAACTTTTCATAAAAAACGGTGTTCCCTGTCACGCCTCAGAAGATTATTTTTTTCCAAGATAGTATTTGCACACAGACATCGAAAAACGAATGAAAAAATTCTTGGTTATTGGCAAAAAAAGTTTTTTTAACCAATAATCAAATTCAGTTCATTTTTATAGCTTGCACACACCTAGAACTTATAGAACTTCGCAAAAAAAATCGTGAGGGGCAGGAAAAAATTTTTGATACCCCTCCCCCCCCCCCCCTCCCTTCCTTCGCCGGCTTCGTTGTTGGACTTTGTTTCGAGCAAGACTGGTACTATGAAGCCTGTATGAACTGACTTTTTTTGTAAAGCGATTTAATCACTGTTTTCCAATTTAAGCTAGCCGAACAAAATTTACCGTTTCACGTTGTATAGTTAAGTGTACTCATAACTAGCAACTCGGTAACATAATTTCGTATGCGATAACAAACCCTGGGATGACTTGGACGTCGTCCACGATGTATGCGTAGTGATGATCCGCTATTGATTGAAACACACTTTGATCTACTTGTGGATAGAACTGTGCAGAATATCGAGACATTCAATGCAATCTGTAAGCAATGTTGATTTTACAACGTGCTATATTTCGCACGTACCGTAACCTTACCATAATCACTGCAGGACCGATAAATGAAGCCAGTGCGGAGAATATGATGTAAAGGCTCGGCAATCGCATGGGAGTGCATTCTTGCTTCGGAGAGTTGTGTGTAGATTCCCAGATGAAGAGGCAAAGCGCTAGTAAGCCGGAAAATGCCCAAACAAGGAAGACAAGCAGACGAGTAACCCTACAAAAGACTATGATTTTTTTTCAATTACTATTTTCTCAACCATTCAATAAACAAGGTTGCCTACAAATTTAACTTGCAATTTTTCAGGCAAAATACGATAAACAGGGATTTGTATTAAGGAAGCAGTTGCTTAATATATGACGCATAAACGATCAATTTATTTATCTATTTTTTTCACTTATTTACTGAGATGTTTGCCTATTCCATTACGCTCTGTCCACAGGAATTTTTTGTAAAGCTCATCACAAAACCTTTTGGCTTTCCGACGCTCAAATGGTAATGTTATTTGATTTTCTCTCAAAAATCAATTTACACATACTATACTTTCCAAAAAAGATTAGTCAAGTGGAAAAGTACTGTCGGCGCTGAAGAATCCTTGTATATGGCTTCGAATCATTTATTTCAGGCTTCATTTACGTTGACACTAAAATTAGGCCGTGGATTACGGAAGCTGTCAAACCCAAGAGGATGCAGGCACTAGGAAAGCACCAACGTTTCAGATAGCTATTATAAATCCAGATCAACCTGGACTTGTAATTGAAAAGCCCCGTAGCTAAGTCGTTGCGCAAGCGGCAGCCATATCTTTTGTAGTTAAGAGATCAAGCACTAAAACTTTCGCCCAGACCGTGCTTTTTCCGAGCGGAAGAGCAATAACGGAAGCATCGACATTTGCTTGGACACTGCGGTAAATTCCTAAGTTGCTCTTCGAGAGCAGCGCCGAGGCGTAGTTCAAAAAGTTGAAGTAGATTTATCCTTATTTTTCCTCAATATTTTTATATCAAATTTACTTCAAAAAGTTAAATTAAGAAATTTTTATAGAGCAATCAGGTACCCAATTCTTATTCCCTAGTTTCTATTTCAATATCAGCAAATAAAGAATTCATATCTGAGTAATTCGGGTTGATAATTTGATTTTTTTTTGCACTTCAAAAATCGACTCAAAACATTTTCCCTTTACTGGAGTTTTCGTCCACTAACCGAGTGAAAATCCATGTCAACAGAGTTTTTCCCCATGGGACAATGAAGCTGTGAATTGGTGTGGTACTTAAACGCTATTACACAGCCGTGCAGAACAATTACGAAAATTTGCGGTCCGTGGTTCTTTGGCCATCGGTCTTTCCTTTTCTGCGCAGCTCAAAGACCTAAATTTTGGCAAGGAGTGGAGTTTGTGGGTAAATCCTAGGTTAAGACAAGATTCGTCTTGGAAAAAGTTTTTTTTCACTTTTCAACGCAAATTTTTCCGTTTCATACTGCGTATATGGAGGAACGTGGCTTGCAAAGGCGTTTTTACTGACACTATTTTCCGGTTAAAGCTGCGCCTAAGATGGAACTTCGCTTACAGATGACAAATATTTCTACTGAATTTTTCCCGTTTCAAGCTGTGCATTAGATGGATCTCGTTTTTGGAGGGTGATTTCAAATTCTTCGTTGCTAAGTTCTTTCCCGCATAAATTGCGCATTAGATGGGATTTGGTTTCAGATGTCGATTTTCACTGGATTTTTCCCGTTTCAAACTGTGCATAATGTGGAACTTGGTTTCCAGGAAACGATTGCTTTTTTCTATTTTCCGTCCAAATACTGCAAATAGGATGTGATTTGGGTTGTAAACAATTATTACTGAGTGCTTGCCGCTTCAAACTGCGCATAAAATGAGACTTGGCTTGCAAAAACTTATTTTCATCAAGTATCCACTGCTTTGAATCGCGCATGAAGTGGGAATAGGGCACCAGCAGCGGCCCCCCCCCCTCCCCGATAAATTGTTGTAATTTACTTATGTGGGTTATGAAAATGTGCAAGTGACTTGTTTATTCTTGTGAACATTTAAAATAATTTTAAAAATTTTTCAAAATTCAAATTAGCCTTATAAAAAAGTTTTTTTTTCAGGGGCGTGGTTGGAGACACGCACCTTCATTAAAAAAATTTTGCCCCCCCCCCCGGAAGGAAATCCTGGGACCACCAGAAGCAAATTTTTCTATGTTTCTCAAATTATAATCTGTTCGTCTTCAAACTTTGCATGAATGCTAAGTTGGCTCATAAAATGGCTATATAGGTATCCATAGCTCTTTACTTTTTGTCACAATCATCTTAAACCACTTGACATTTATGTCTTATCAAAACGACTCACCTTTTCGACGAAATGCTAGGATACCGTATAGGCTGCTTCACTGCCATATATCTATCAAATGAAATTGCTAGAAGATTGTAGATGGATGCTGTTGAAAACCATACATCTGCGGCTAGCCATAATCGGCAACCTAGATCGCCGAATAGCCAGTCATTTGTGTGTTCCTGAATAATGAAAATTCCAGCAATGCAGTTTTGTCATAACTTTCGCCCAGTGCACCCATTCTCGTCCCCAAAAAGTACCACTCCTAGCGTATTTTCAAAAAAAAATTTTTTTTTCAAGCTCAATCCACCCTATAGCGAAGAACAATGTGTGGGCACAACTCATAGAGAAGTAAACACATCCCTTAGGGGTAAATAAATGCTGCAACCATTTCTTTTAGTAAACAAAAAACAAGTGGGCAGCTGAAAATACGTTTTTGCAGCTTGGAAACTTAATGCAGTCTGCCACCGTAATTTGTTGGAACAGAAAAACAACAGATACAGTAGGAAAGAAATTTTGAGTTGTTGTCAAACTTTCCTGTTTCATTGGTTGCACAAATTGATACTAAGTTGGGCTTGTTTAATGCACACATGTCCTCTATTGTAAAGAACCAAAAATCCCGACAAGAATTAAACATAACAAGAAACTGAGAGGACGAGTGCACATTAAACTTTGTCTTCTGTCAAACCTGGTTTTTTTTATATGAAAACTTTCTACCCCCGGGTGTTTGACATTCCCACTGAGAAAGTGCAGAAAAAGATTTTTTGAGTTAAAGTCAATTTTTCCTGATTGAGAATTGAGAAATAAAGGGCGTAGTCGGCGTGTGGCTTTCTTAAACAAAAAAGTCTGGGACTATTTGTCCGAAAAAGTTCAAAAAAAACACAGCATAGCAAAATGAGTGCCGAATCTATAAGCCTCGAATTTCAATCAAACTTGGAAGTATATTTTCATCCCTTGTTCCCCCTCCCCCATACGTGTTTGACCTTTCACTTTCATGACGTAAATATTCTATTTCGAAAACAAATCATTATTTTCTGTCCTTACAAGCTTGTTTTTCCAGACTTTGTACATAATTGTACATGGCTGATTACAAGAAAGCTTAGAATAAACCACTAGACTCATTATCTCTAAATTGCTCTTTGATCCGTCCCCTCTCCCTCCCCCTCTCCCATAAAAAACAATCGATAATCGATCGATCTCACCTGAATGATAGCAAATGGAATAATAGCTGTTCCAAGTAGTAAATCGCTGATTGTCAAGGATAGAACGAGGAAATTCGTTGTGGTGTGTAGTGATGATTGTGAAACCAGTGCGTAGAGTACGAATATATTACCGCAAACAACGACCAGACAGACAATACCCATGTAGAAGCTGACATCCATGTCTGAAACGGGAAGTTTTTGATAGAAAAAATTTTCAGAAGCAGTTGCGGGAAGTTTTTGATAGAAAAAATTTTCAGAAGCAGTTGCGGGAAGTTGGAAACTTTGTACGAGAATGGAATAACGAGAACTTTGAGAGAATAGAATGTGGAAAAGTTGGTGCAAAAAAGAGAGGAACGGGAAAAAGGTGGATGAACAAAAATGTTACATTTGGAATGAAATATAGTGGTAAAATAATATCAATGATAACAGTAGTAATAATAGTATTAATACTAGTAATAATAATAAGAATAATGATACTATGTAATAACAGTGATCATAGTAATAATTTTAAAAAGTAAAATGATAATAAAATAAATAATAATAATAGGAGTAGCGATAATAATGATAACAATAATAAAATAGTATTAATAACCATGAGGATAATAATTTATAACGAGAATAATAACAATGAAAATAAGAACAAGAACAAGAATAAGACAGTGCTATTACCAAACAATAGTATGATGTGTGTCAACAGTTATTGAAATAAAATGAAATAGATAAATAAATTCCAGGTATTTGAATTAGACTGTAATGGTGACGAAATTCTCACCATGATATCTTATATATAAAGCTGAATGTCTGTTTGTCTGTATGTCTGTCTGTATGTCTGTCTGTCTGTCTGTGTGTACGTATGTTCCGAATAGAAAATTCCATTTCTGAACCGATCCGGACCAAACTTGGCACACATACACTACGGGCCCCGGCGGGTGTCATAGGCTACTTTTCGTCATCGATCGATATCGATTTTATCGATTTTTATCGATTTTTTTGCTGAGTTCACCTACGGGGCTGGGAGTTGGCACAGGGGGGTAATCGAGCATGGGGATTCCGAATACAATATTGGTTTTCAGGATTATCGATTACTTTTATCGATTTTATCGATTTTTTTGCAAAGTTTGAGCTAGGGGGCTGGGAGTTGGCACAGGGGGGTAATCGAGCATGCTGATCATCCCCAAGGGGGGTGATCAGCATGCTCGAACACCCCTGTGCCAAATTCCAGCCCCCTAGCTCAAATTTTCAAAAAATCGATAAAATCGATAAAAGTAATGGACGATCTTGAAAACTAATATTGTATTCGTAATCTGCATGCTCGATTACCCTCTGTGCAAACTCTCAGCCCCGCAGGTCAAACTTTGCAAAAAAATCGATAAAATCGATAAAAGTAATGGACGATCCTGAAAACTAATATTGTATTCGGAATCCCCATGCTCACTTCCCCCCTGTGCCAACTCCTAGCCCTGTAGGTGAACTCTGCCAAAAAATCGATAAAATCAATAAAAGCAATCGATAATTCTGAAAACTAATATTGTATTCGGAATCCCCATGCTCACTTCCCCCGTGTGCCAACTCCTAGCCCTGTAGGTGAACTCTGCCAAAAAATCGATAAAAATCGGTAAAATCGACATCGATCGATGACGAAACGTGGACTGTGACACCCGCCGGGGCCCGAAGTGTATGTGTGCCAAGTTTGGTCCGGATACGGCGGAGCCGGGTAAGCCAGCTAGTTGGAAATAAAGCAATAATATACAGGGTGTCCCAAAAAATGTTTCGAACGTTTGATCGTTAATATCTCTCTTCCCAAGAAGTCTTTTGCCTTGCTTCAGGTACCGCTTTGTAGAGCTGGCTTCAACTTAGATTTCCATTATAGAACGAATCATCCATCTCTCTTTATTACTGTAGAGTTACGGTAGAAACTTCAAAGAGGGTTTCGAACCATGAAAGGCCATATTTTGCCTCAGAAAGGAAACAAAACAGCCTGAAAACTTTTACACCAGGCTAATTAGAGTTGCTGATTATAACTGTAAAGTTCCCAACTTATTATGATGCTTCATTGAAAAGTTATGCCAGGTGAGAGGTAGCGGCCTTTTTTCCAGTGTTCCTAAAAAGTGCGATTACACCGTTTAGAAAGCTTCGTAATCTTGTGAATAGTTGAGTATTGAACTCAGCGTCTATAAAAACCCTATAACACAAGTTTTCACAATTTTTTGAAAAATTTTGAAACGGCAGCTTTTTCCACATTGACACCATATGTTTCAAGTTTCTACCGTAACCCTACAGTAATGAAGAGAGATGGGTGATTCGTTCTATAATGGAAATCTAAGTTGAAGCCAGCTCTACAAAACGGTACCTGAAGCAAGGCAAAAGACTTCTTGGGAAGAGAGATATTAACGATCAAACGTTCGAAACATTTTTTTGGGACACCTTGTATTTCAATCAATTTCATTTCAATTTCGAGGATAACTTCGCAAAATCAGATGTAAGAAACTCATGATTCATTGGTAAGCAACATAAACCTGAAGAAAAAAAATTGACTGGTAGAGGGAAAAGAAAATCTTATAGATCTCTTGTAATTGAAAATGGCTAAGTGGATAGCTCTTTTGATACTTTTCAAATGTTTCCCGCATGAATATTTACAACCAGGGCTTAGCACAATTTGGCTTTTCTAATATGCGAAAAACGAAGTCCCCTCTGACTTTCGAAAAATTTTACGAATTCCCCTTCGACCCAAAATCGGAAAAGTCGACTAAAAAGACTCAACCTAACTTGTGTTTTTTCAGACTGCTAAAACGATATCCCCTTTGCTTTTTGTACCAAAAACGAGATCCAGCTTGCTTATAAGCCATCTGTTCCAAGTTCTGTTTGTACAACAAAATTTAGATATAAATAAGAGAACATCATTAAAGAGGATTGAGCTGTAACTATTTTCACTATAGTGAGCGATAATGTGATAATCATTGCAAAGAAAAATATCTCAAGTTTTAAACATCCGAAAAAGTCAAAGAAAGCAAAAACCACCAGGGCAGTAATAGAACTCAGCCCGGAAACGCATCTGTCTCATTTATGGACATGCTGATGATTTTGGCAGCATCAAGGTCATTTTTTCTATTATTTATTGCATGTCGTCTCTTGCATATTTATACTCATAACATATTGATAGATATAGTAAAAAACAATGGGCATATGTCTTCACAGGTATCTGGATGTTTGAGCTAGCGAATTGCTATTAGGTTGGTGCAAAAGTAATGCGCGTTTTGCGAGTTCTTACTTTGACGTGCTATAACTTTCTAAAAAATCCATATTTTTCAGTGCGGCAAAGTTTGTCAAAATCAAACCTTTCTCTATAAAGCGCACGTTGCCTTAAATTAACTTCGCAAATCGGTGGAAAAATATGGATTGATAAGCAAAAAAATTTTTTTTTCGGAAACCTCGTTCTTAACTGATCGTAACTTCCTTCACGATTTGTCGGTATAAATGACAAGTTGACTGTCTTGTAGCCGCAAGCCAATAGTACCAAAAAAATTACAAAAGGGCTCAAATAAAGAGTATTTGCGAAAAGGAAAAAACAATATTCAAAATTTTCCGCTTTTTTCGACATTTTTTTGTAACCCTCAAAATCCCAAATATGGAGATTTTTGATTTTCTGTGTACTGAACAGCTTCCACATTTTTGCAAAAACTGTCAATAAGAGGTCCATTCTTACACTTACAGAAATGAGCAAAATCTTGGCGATTACCCTCTTCAAGGAAAATCTATGGGCCACAGAATGGCCAAAACCATCACTTATGTTGAGGCGCCGAGATCTCAGTCTAAGTAATTTCTAGAAAAACAGTAAAGCATGCATAACGTAGAAAATTTCTACTACGTACAGTATTCAAATTTTCAAATTAATGCCTTTACTCGCGCTTGAATTCTGGCCGAAAAAGTAAGTGCAGTGAAATTCTGGTTTTGAGTGCGGTTGTATGAAGCTCTCTAAATTTTTAACGAATGAGGCTAGAAGCTTCTTTTAACCACTATTGAATAGAGCATGAAAGAAGGTTCTTGACAATATGCTGGCTAAGTTTCATAGAAAAAACTTTGATGGAGAAAAGCTATCTTGAAACAAGGGCTAGAAAAACGCGCATTACTTTTGCACCAACCTAATACAATTTGTCATTGTTAGTTATTTCTTAGTCTGCCCTTGTCATGAAGCCAGATTTATAAGCCGCTCGGGAGGGGGGGGGGAAGGAGACTATAATTCGTCGAAATGAGAGACTTTGGAACTTGGAAAATGCATAAAATGTGTCATTCAAACAGTATTTTTCTTTTCTTCACCGAGCTTCGTTGCAAAATTTTGCGTCAATACTCAATTGTAGCCAAACAAATATGGATTTATTCTAGAAAAGCAAGACACGTTTTTTCTCCTCCTACAAAATTTGCAAAATCCTCGTCTCTGTTTGTTGGGTCTAATTTGATTTATCCTAAGGCGTTTCTACTATGTGATTTAGTTGTTGACGCAGTTTCACTTGCAGACGAAACCATGTTTTTGGATTCAAAATAAGGAAGTTACGATTAGTGACTAACAACTTAACGCAAGAAACAGATATTCAAAACAAATGTTCAACTATAAAGATAGCATATTTGAAGCCTGAGATTATTAAATTTGTGTAATTAAAAAAATGGTCATAAGTTTGCTACAGGTTTATTTCATAGTAAATATGAGTGTGGTAGGGTTAAACTGTCGATGTTTGACCTTTTACAGAAAGAAAAGATTCTGAACCCTCCGAACTCCATACCTTTGGAAAAAAGAGGAAGAAACAACTGTTTGAAACTTAAAAATTTGATACCATCGCATGGCTTTCCCCTCCCCCAATTACGTCAGCAAAACTGAGTCCTCGCTTTGCCACCGTCGACGGATAATCCCATATTCAGTGATAAAGAAAGCAAAAATAAAATTGAGTAATGAAAGGCAGCAATTTTCCTTGCAAATGCAAATGACTAGATAATTCTTATATTTTAGAAATTAAAAATGCAAGAACTTAGAAAGTAAAGATTGAACTTTAATCCCCACTTACTTGCTCCGGGAATGAAATGAGATATGGGAAGAAGAAAACTTACTTTCTGGAATGAAAGATGAGAAGCGGAGTCAGGAAGAAAAATCCTTCAGTGAGTTCAGTTTCAAAATTCAAAAATCAGTCTAT